ACTAATAAAGAATTGGACGTAGAACCGTCATTTTTCAGGCCATATATTCATAGGACGCTTTCTCCAAGAAACAATGTATTTCTCTTTTTCTCTCTCTCTCTCTTTCTGTCTCTTTCTCTTTTCTCTCTTCTCTCTCTTTCTCTCTCTTTTTCCAATGTATTCTCTATGTACAACAATTACACAGTTACACAGGTGCACGTGCACGAGAGCAAAGCATGCAACATATGAGAACAGAACACGCAGCCAAGCAGTAGTGACCTACAGATCCCGATGAGCATGCAAAATTCTTTTTCGTTTATTATTAGTCTTATATCAATGATATGAAATGCTTTAATATCGCTGAGAGTTGAAACATCACACGTGTAATTTGTTGATCGATCGTCTGATCGTTGTTGTAATACTACTTATCCTTCATTATGTGTATACTTGCCTTGTATCTAGCAGATTTCTCCCTCGTATCGAGTAGACTACATTCGCATCAACGATATCGATGTGTGATCTTTTAGTATTTAGTGTTAAAAGTGCCTCTTTATATTGTTGAAGTAGACTATTCGAGATCGCGATTTTTCAATGAGAAAGGATTCAATAATAATAAAATCTCCCTTCAGATCCTGACGAATGTGCGCAATGCGTGGGAATACTTGAAGAATTGGAGAACATTGATGACGATTGCGACAGACACGGCATCACATTCGTAAAAACGCAAGTAAGTAAAATAAATAGATTAACGACTCATCTTTCTTACTTTATATTTATTTTAAATTAACAAATGAGGCAATAATTTGGCAAAAATAAAAAGAATAGAAAGTGCATCTCGAAAATAAAAACTAATGCTAAAAATCTCTCCCATTCTCTCTCTCTCTTTCTTTTTATAGGATTTCAAGGTAGCCGAAGATTACGGGGTGACGGACTTTCCAGTATTAGTTTATTTTGAGAAACAAATGCCAAATGTGTTCGCAGGTCTGTAATTTGTATAATTACTTTTCCCAATCTATTTTATTAACGATTATCTATTTATATAGGTGATCTCGCTGTGGAAGAGGAAGTGTTACAATGGTTGATTACTCAAAGAACGGAAGATCGAATAGAACTGATCACAAGAGTTATGCTAGAAACATCCGTTGAGGAAACACAATATTTAGCGGTTTATTTCAGTAAGTTAATTATATTAATTATATTAAGTTAATTACTCTCAAAATGAATAAGAGCTCTGGCGATTATTTATATAATAAAATAAATGTAACATCAATGTCATAGCTAAACAAAACTGTCATATATGCGACGAAATTTTGGAGGGTTTGGAAAGGGTAGATGACGAGTGTGACGTATTTGGTATTCATATGGTGAAAATTCAAGATCCACAATTGGCGAAACGATATTCGATCAAAACGTTTCCGGCACTCGTCTATTTCCGAAATGGCAATCCTCTAATCTTCGAAGGTTCGGCCATCTATTATCTATATTTTAATAAAAATTCTAGTTATTTTATAACAAATATGAATATATAAAATTTTGAAATGTTACGTGCGCGTTAGGGGACCTTCAAAACGAAGAATCGGTCCTCGAGTGGCTGATCGACGATGACAATCGAGAACTAGCCGATGAAATAGAATCTGTCAACGAGAGAATGCTGGAGAGACTTCTCGATGAATCTCCCTTCTTAGCTGTTTTCTTTTGTAAGTTTTTAATCTCATTTTGTTCCTTACTAAGCGCGTATTCACTTTGAACTATACCTATACTTTTTTATTCTTTGCGGTTCAAAAAAATTTAGTAATTAATTAATAAAATAATTAATAAATTTAGTAATTAGTAATTAAAATTTAGACATTTTTATTACTTTGAAATATAAGTAACTGTATTTTATTCTATATTTTCTAGATGATGAAGATTGCCCTGAATGTGACGAAATCATGGAAGCGTTGGAGAAAATCGACGGCGAAGCTGATCTTTTTGGTATCGACTTCGTTAAGATCTCTAGCTCGGAAGCTGCCGAAAAATATGGCATTCTCAACGTTCCATCCCTCGTGTATTTCCGAAAGAAAACGCCACTCACATACGACGGTGATCTCATGCAAGAAGAAAAGATCCTGCAGTGGCTCACTTCTCAAGATGTATTTGAGATCAAAAATGAAATCGAGGAAGTTAACAAAAAAATGCTGGATAAATTATTGGATGAGAACGAGTTCCTTGCGGTCTTCTTTTGTGAGTAAACAAAAAAAATACAAGAACTATAAATTATAATGCCGGTGAATTTGATTATATATATCGTTTACCATTACGCCCAACATTTTCAGATGAACACGATAGTCAAGAAAGCGAGGATGTGGACAAGAAATTGGAGGAGATCGACGGCGAGATTGACAATCTGGACATTACATTTGTTAAAATGGCAGATCCCAGATACGCTAGGAAGTGGGGAGTTACCAAGCTACCTGCTCTCGTCTATTTTCGCAAACGATTCCCTAGTATTTACAGAGGTAAGAGATATCGTAGAAAAAATCTTTGATCAGAACAAAAATATTTGTAGTCGCATTTCAATGATGTTTCGATCAATTCTTATTTTCTAGGTGACCTGCACAATGATCTGGATGTTCTCGAGTGGCTCCGCAAGAACAGATACCGACAGCCGGAATTGAACATCTACATGTACATGCTGATCGCCATCACCATCCTCTTCCTCATGTACACCGGTTTCCTCCTGTCGTGTTTCCGCTCGGAACCGTCCGCGCCCGTCGCGCATCCTAAGCAAGCGTGAAAGAAAAACGCGCTCGATACGGAAGTGTAAAAAAAAAGAAAAAGACAGGACTCGTGAACTCTTTTCGCGCTTGTGTGCTGCTCGATATTCTCGATACTTTGATTCCCGTATGATTACAGGTATGCGCGGATAGGTTCGTCCGGCACGAACGATTTATATATATATATGGCGCTCAAAGCGATATAAGAACGAATGGTAACGATGACCGCGTTGGAACGAGAACAATGAAGCGACCTGCCTTGTCGGACCGCTGTCAAATGTTGAATGAAAATATTGCGTGAAAGAGAGGGAGAGAATGCGTTTATTGAACCTTGTGAACGATTATTTTGAATGTAAGGATCGAAAGTAAATCGCACGCGTATATATATACGTGCGCGATTTTTAATTATCGAATTATGAAAAGCGAGTATTTACGAGATGAACCGTGAAAAATAACTTTTTGAAAATTAACATCGATACTATTATACATTCTTTGCCCCAGAGAATACACAAGGAGAGATTTAAAAAAAAATATATATATATATTTTTAAATAAAAATATATATATATATATATAATGAATATTTAAATATATACACCCCAGCGAGAAATGATGGTCGAAACAATGTCGATTCGTTATCGAATCGATGTCAAATTGTTCAATACGACGTCGAATTGAAGTCGATTTGACGAACGATTTCTCGCTGGGATATTTAATTATTTAATTTATTATATATAATTATATTATATTAATATCATAGTAAATATTTAAATATATATATATTTAAAAAATATATTATATAATAAAAATATGATATACATATAATATTAAGGAAGTAAAACATATAATAATGTTTGTTCGCGCGAATATTTTTGGCCCCTATTTAATGCAACATTTTAACGCCAACCCTAGATTTTGGTATCATACAGAGAAATTCCGATATAAATATATTTAAATATCAATTAAATATCATCGCGATCTGTTCTTTTTTTCAATAAGGAATACCTAGGACCTCTGCCGAATATTAGAATATCATTAGAATAAGGTTACTGTCATCTCTATCATCATTATCTCATCATCTCATTAATATAATTATTATAATTATTACTTATTATCCATCTAAAAATTATCGTTATTATATTGATACTAATTATTAATACTTTTATTACTGCTATTGCTATTATTACCATTATGATTATATCATAATTTTATCATTATAATTACTATTATTATTATTATGATATATAATTATTATATTATTGTTGTTAGTAAGTAGTAATGACTGGTATAGACATGACAGCGGTCTGCGATCGTTCAAACTTCTTTAGTTTATGTACGGTTATAGCTCTTATCAATGTGACCCTTCGCAATAATGAATTATCGTTAACTTGTAACGATTCGATGTAATTATATATATATATATATATATATATATATATATATAATGACATAAAGAACTTATTTTTATACAGTCATTTAACGAAGGGAACTAATCGAAGGGAGTCATCGTTACTACAATGAATAAAAAAGAAACGCACCCTTGGACCAACTTCAAATCGTAAAAATGCCATTTTCATCTGCCAAGTGTAAATAGAATTATAACGCGTGAACGTGAATAATGATGTATTATATGAAAAAGCGATTTTTCTCTTATATAGATCTTTTTTTTTTGTCCGCAGGATTAGATAGATAATGTAATATTATATATATGTGTTATGTATTATATTATATATAATTCTTTTGGATACTTTTCTCTCTCTGATTCTGCGATGTATTTATGGAAGTATTTCAAGAGAGCGTGTATAAAAAAGATATATATCTCTTTAAAAGCGCAATCCAATTTCCAAAATATACTTGGAATTGTTAAAAAAAATCGCATTATTTGACTTTTTATTTAATATATAAAGGGGGCATCACAGATAAGCATCACATACAAAATAATATATTTCAACAATTAATACATAAAAAAAAATTTGTTAACATGACTAAACCTTTCAACTAAATTACTATTTTGTTAATTAACATATATATATATATATATATATATATTATTAGTATTTAACAATAATTAAGTCAAATGTATCTTTTGTTAGATTTAATATGTTATATTTATATTATATTTATGTTATATTTAATTAAAATATTTTTATATGTTTAATTGAAAAAATAATATTTAATTGAAAGGTTTAGTTAAGTTAACAAATTTTTATTTTCAGTGTAGATTAGTAATCAATCACTCACCGATGATGAAACATATATATCTAACCTGTCTTTCGTTGTTCCTTGCGGCTTCTCCACTGCTGCTTCTCCAGATAACACACACACGATTATTCGCGAAAAAAAGTACTTACTACTTAACACTCGCATTAATTATCACAATATAATGATCGCGCGACACTTCGCGACATTCCCGCACACAATACGCACTTTATTACGATGGAAATATAAATATTACGACCGCGCGAAACTGCACGCTCCGACCGAATGCTCCGATCCGAGACATTCGATAAATCATATCGAACGCAGCGAGAAGTCGATATAGTCGCGCGACTAACTTCGCGTCGCTGCTCCTAGATACACTATCCCGCAAATCTAACCTTGAACAGCAAACATATATATATTAATTTATTTTATATATATATATATATATATATATATATATATATAAGATATATTATTTTTAACCGTGTAAATAATAAGCAAAATGAATTTCATGTTTCTATAACCAGATGATCGAATAATTCTAATCAGAGAATTTTGGCTGAAAAAATTGCAATAAAAACATGCAAAGGAGTTACATAATTAAACTTGTTATTATAAGGATATATGTACTGCAATTGATAATATATATCGGAATATATATAATAAATTAATATATATATATATATATATATATATATATATACATTAATTTATTATATATATTTCGATATATATTTCGATATATAATATATAAATATATACATATTATATATATATATATATATATATAACATATGTATATTTGTATATATATATATATATATTAATAATGTATATATATATATATACACATTATATATACATATATACATTAATTTATCGATAAATATATATGATCATATATATATTTTACATATTCCGATATATATTTATTATCAATTGCAGTACACAGCCATATAATAACAGGTTTAATTAGCTCTTTCGCAATGTTTTTATTGTAATTCTCCAGCCAAAATTCTCCGGTTAGAACCACATTCATCTGCGGTTATAGAAACGTGAAATTCACTTTGCTTATTATTTTAGCACAGTTAAAACTAATATATCTAGAAAACTAGACTATCTTTTCTTTATTATCATTCTTACCTACAATTATGTGTCGCGTGAGAGTCCTAAAGCGGGATAAATAATTGATTTCACGAAGATATATACGCGCGCGTTACCTGCCTCGAAGCTTCTTCTTCGTCTCTCCCGGATGTACGTCACAGAGACGCCGCAGTTTTGGCGGCACGCAGTTTCAGCGGAATCACGGATCATTTCTAGAAGGCCGATTGATTTGAATTTAGTACACACGACGCTCTCTGTTGGACTCGACGCGAACTATAATAATTAACTGAAAATCGCGCGTTGGACTCGGGCTCTCATTGGTCAACGGGCTAGAGAATTTATTCACTTATAAGTTTGTCATTCTTGTTGGGTGATCATGTGTTTCAGTTTTCTTTGACGTGAAGTTAACAGAGGTTAAAAATTTCTTTACCGCGTGGAAAGATGGCTGACGTGTAAGTAAACTCGGGAGCTCTGATAAAATCTGGCTGCATCAGCCGAAAATATGATTTTATAGTTCCGCAGACATTGTATTAGCAATTTATTATTATGCATGTATATTAGTGCATCTATATTTTTGCGTTAAAAAAAGGAAACAATACAAATTATCGACTTGAAATTTGTGGGTGGAGGGGCCTGGTCTCTCCAATATGATACATTATTATTATTACAGACGAAAACGCATTTGGTTTTTCATTGAGCATTAATTGATATTATATATTGTATTATCTATTATTATAAATATTTGTTACAATAAGCGATAGTTAAAATACTGTCACTAACTTTACTTTACAATCAACATTAAATTGCGAGTACAAGTTTTATCAAACATTTAGGATTAACAAAGATGGCCTAAATATGATTAAATTTTTCTGCAGAAAAAAGGAAAGCGAGGTTCCACCCAAGAAATTGCCGGCAGTGCCGGAATCGGTGCTGAAGAAAAGAAAACGCCGTGAGACAGTCAAAGCTGCACGTCTCCAAATATCAATCAAGGTAATTATTACATTTTATTTACTAGATTTCGTCATTGTCATGCTAAAAAAATTATTTTTCTCATAAAGTGGATGTAAAAGAAATAAACTTATTTTATATTACTCTGCTTGTTTTACAGCAACGTGCGGATCGCTACAAGAAGCGAAAACAAATTTTCAATAGAGCTGAAAAATATGTGAAGGAGTACAGAAGGAAGGAAAGAGATGAAATCAGATTGATTAGACAAGCAAAAAATCGTGGAAATTATTATATTCCTGGCGAAGCGCGTCTAGCATTTATTATCCGTATTCGAGGGTAAGTTGATACATTGTTGCTAACATTAAACAAATCTTTTTAAAGTCTTAAATTTTCTTTAACAATTATAATATATTTGCAATTCTTTTAGTGTGAATCAAGTTGCTCCAAAAGTACGGAAGGTATTACAACTCTTCCGTCTAAAACAGATCAACAATGGTGTCTTTGTGAAATTGAACAAAGCAACCATTAATATGTTACGTATTGTCGAACCTTACATTACATGGGGATATCCTAATTTGAAATCAGTTCGTGAATTAATCTACAAACGTGGATTTGCTAAGATAAATAAACAACGTATACCAATAACTAGCAACTCCATCATTGAAAAGAAACTTGGTTAGTAAAACTATTTTTCATATATTATATGCAAATAAATGATAAATATCAGTGAAAAATTAAAGTGCAATTAACATGCATGTTATATTTTGCACAATAATTGCATGTTATATTTTGCAAATAATTTGTTGACAAATCCATGGGAGTCTTGAGAATATATAAACATTCTCCCTTCCAGTTTGTCAAAAATTAAAGAAATAATTTTTGGGAAAAACTTGGCCATAATTTTTACAGTCAAGTGTGAAGACAGAAAATTATACAAAAATTTATAATTTTTTTGCTTTACTATTTATTAAATTCACTTTTTTTAATTATATAAAACTTTGTTATTACATTAATATTAATAATCTGATAAGTTAATTTCTATCTTTTTTATTTTTACTTAGGTCGATCTAATATCATTTGTACTGAGGATTTGATTCATGAAATATTCACCGTTGGCCCAAAGTTCAGATATGCAAGCAATTTTCTGTGGCCCTTCAAGGTATGATTCATTAAAAATGTCAATATTTTGTATTACGACATTAGGCATGGTTATAGAATAATTTAATCTATCAACCTCCTAATAATGTCGAAAAGTAATACGAGTTTTTCTTGCTGATAAATGATATCTCAATATCACAAATCTAAGATGAACTCAAACATTTTCCTTAAATTATACAAGGTATATCGCATATCTAACAATTCAATTTTTAATTTTTTCTAGCTTAATACACCAAATGGTGGATGGCGTAAGAAGACCAACCATTATGTAGAAGGTGGTGACTTTGGAAACCGAGAAGATAAAATTAATGAACTTCTCAGACGTATGGTATAGATTTATAAAAATCTTCATAAATAAAGTTCTATAATCGGAAAATTATGTTTTATGTTTTACCTTAACTAATTATATCATCAATGCAACTAATTATATGTTTCTATTATATACTATGAACATACATGTTTTAATCAATTGAAATTAATGTTATAAGATTTGTGCATACTTTGTGACGTAAATTTTAAAAAAATTAAAGCAAAGTATCTTTTTAGAAAATCACATTAAGAGTAAAAATCCAAGATATTAAAGAAAATTTTTGACTTATATGTTTCAAGTATGCATCAACTTTATATATAATGAAATTCAATATTCTTCTTCATGTTTTTCATGTAAATAATTTCTTGAGAATGCATTCCATTTGACACTACAAAAGTTTCAAATCGTTTGAAGCGAAAAGCATTTATTTTGAAACATTACGCTATCAAACGATGGATAGCCAATCAAAATCTCGCTTGTTGCATTGCTTGTGACCATAGCCTAAAATGCTATGCAAATCTTATGCATGTGTGTGATGGTGTGATTTCGTATTATAACATATTTTTATCAGAATCAATTATAATATAGTAAGTAAAAAAATATTTGTGTGTAAGAGTAAATAATATAAAATAATATAATAATTAATATTAATAGTAAATCACACAAAGTACAGATGCATATAATCTTGTATGACACATTTAACCTATGCACATTTCATCGAAAAATCTAGAATCGCAAAATCTTAATGTTTAACAATAATTATCAAGTTATAGGAGTTATACAATTTTTTTTGTAAAATTAAATATGAACTCGCTTCGCAAATACTAAATATCCTTCCAATTGAATCAGTGGTGCACGATGTATTTTTAGAGTTGTAAATAAGAGGTTTGACTTCAATATCATACGTTCCACGTTCAAATCCCCTGAAATCTTTTTTTTATTTGATAGCATTTCTTTATATTTTTTATACATTAAAATGTTATAAAATCTGATAATTTGAAAATATATTAAACATTAAAAAATAATTAATTTTATACTGGTACATATAATCTAAAATAGACTATAGATAAAATGTTAATATTTTTTTTAGCTAATAAAGTGCATCAGAACAAAAGTTAAATTTTTATAAGTGACAACTGGCTTAATTTTCATTTATATTCTGCAAAAGAATTTGTAAATATGAATAAGAAAAAGGTTATATCTGATATGTCGCATGAAAATAAGTGTTCATCTATGCATAAACCAGATAAACCCGCATCTAAGAATAATATAAAAATGCCTATTAATGTAGCTAATGGTAAGAATTTTTTTATTACTTTTTAAAATATTATAATTATACTATTTTAAATTTGCCATTAATACTTATTTTATTTCTTTAATTTAAGCTTCTACTTCAAGTAAAAACGTTTTATTATCAGAAATGAAGAGAAAATATGACAAAACATTGGCACACAAAAATTATCCTGATATTAAAAATGAAAAAGAAATAAATAAAAATACCACGAATGGTTTAAATATACATGATGACAATTACAAAAATATATCAATTTCTACTCAAGATAATTCAAAAAATTCTATAAATATAAATGCAAATCAATGTAACAAAGTGGAACAAGAATTTAATATGATGAAAAATACAATAAGAAATAATGAAGGAAAGGTAAAATTAAATATCACGGACAAAGTGCTTATATCTAACAAATTAATTATTCCACAAAATGCAGAATATAAAACTGAATTAATGCCTGTGTGTCTTAATAGCAACATTCAAACATTCAATGAAGTAATTACAACACCAGCTAAATCAACAAAATCACTGCCTTCTAATTTAGATGCTTGCATCAAAGATAACATGGAAGGATCAAAATTAGTTAAAGTTAAAAATAACTTGTCAACTTCAGTACAATTATCTAGAAAAAGAACACAATCAATATTAGATGCAGATAATAATCCATTAAAAGAAGAATGTAAAGGAAATAAATTTTTAACAATTAAACAAATTCCATCTCAAGCATTCCATGATGATGAAACAAGTTTGCAAAAATTAAATGAAAAAAATGATTCACAAAATACATTTAATGCAATACATCAAGAATGTAAAACAAGTGAGATAAATGGGAAGCATGAAAAACAAATCCAGTCATCTGTACCTGTAGTATTAAATGTCAAAAGGAAAAGGGGTAGACCCAAAAAAATACAAAATAATTTGATAGACCAAAATACACCAAAGACATCAAAAGATGAATTGCAAGATATTTCCAATGTCATTACAGAACCTATGACACGTAGTAAAAGATCTAATAAAATTAGTGTTACTACCAATGTAAGTGATTTAAGCGATGATGAAAGCGATACTACTCATGTGGAAGATAAACTTCTTGTCAAGAAACGTGGTCGTCCAGTTGGCAGAGGACGAGGTCGAGGACGTGGTAGGGGTCGTGGTAGAGGAATAACACATAATTCTTTAGATTCAGAATATGTTCCTAAAACGATGAGAAGAGATGCTTCTCAATCAAAAAAACTGAAGAATAATTTAGATTTAGATGAAATGAATACAACAACAGATAGTGTTATAAATATCGAAAATGCTACAAATTCAGATTTTTCAACTACTGAAAAGAAAGTAAGTTATAATATATTTTAGAAATTTGCATTACCGACTAAGTAATATATATAATTTAATTGAAACTTTCACTTTTTTTTTTTACAGATACAATTAATAACTTGCGCTAAATGTAAAGAAGAAGTACCAAAAAAACAATGGTCTTCACATAATTTGCATCGACATAATAACATGGCTTGGCAAGAAAATGAGGAACCATTGGTAATAATATTTTTAATTATATTATAAAATTTTTTTATATTGCTGATAAAATTTTATATGAAAACCGAGTTTGTTCACAGGACTTTGAAAATGACATAAAATTATTAAAAAAAGTATTGACTCGTGCTCTTAAACTAAAAAAGAAATATTTAACTTGTGAAAAATGTGAAACTACAAAACGGAGTGTCAATGGTTTTGTATCACATATGCAATTTTGTGGAAAATCAGAAGATGTAAGTATAAAATACATACATATATATATAATGTATTTTATCGTTAATATTATATTTTTCTTTATACTTCCTTATTTTTTGTTATTATAGGAAAGGCAAGCATTAATGATGACATGTCCTATTTGTAAATCCGTTATGATGCCTTCTTCCATGGAAATGCATGAACGTTATCATAGACAATTAGAAGAAGATAAAGATAAAGAAACATTAGTTATACTAACAGAGCGTAAAAAACGGAAAGCAGCAGAGAAGTAGATATATTTTTAATAAAAATTTTATATTAATATTATACTTGTAATATATAGATATATTATACAATTTTCTATAATTACAGAGCAGCACCAAAAATAATTGAGTCCATGAAAGAGCAAGATGCATGCTCAGCAAAGAAAGCAAAACTTGATTCTTCTATACTTGTACGTTAAAAGTTTCATTCATTATGTTTATAAATTCATATCAATTTAAATAATATAAGTAATAAGTGATAAATTCTTTGGCTAATTTGAGGCAGATCATTTTTTGCATAATTAAAGAGTTAATAAAATTTAGAAAGCAACAAGAATTCCAACAAATTATATTTTACAAGAGAAATAGAACAAAAAATCATATTGTTTAGTTAATTTAAATAGACTAATATAATCTTAATAATTTATAAGACTTAGTTATAAAAATTATATACAATCTATAAAATTGAAAAGATACAAATAAATGATAAGTTTCTATGTAAGAAAGAATTGAAACCTTAAATTAGTCAAGGAATTAAATAATAGTGTTAAAAATAGAACTACATGTATACATATATACATTTATCAATTTATAGAACAAAATACAAATGCCAGAACTTAAAAAGAAAATACCAGGGATTTGGAAAAGTATATGGAAGAAAGAAATAGCTTCCCAAGGTATTGCATCTTGTAGACAAGTAGGATGTACTTATACATGCTCTTCTTACGAAAGCATATGCGAACATTATTCGCAATGTAATTTCACTCCACAAGAGGTACAATTTATTTTACAATTTTTCGAACATTTTAAAGATTAAGTATATAAATAAAAAGTGCCTTTCTTTTCCAGAATTTTATATGTAAACTTTGCAAGTTTTCTGCAGATTCTAAAAATAAAATCATAGATCATATAACAAAAACTCATTCAGACAATGAGGATTTAGACAAGGATTTAGAAAATTCTGATTTTGAAAAAGATGAAGAAGATAATTCGTCGGAAGAAGATATCGAATATGATAAAAAGCATAAACGTTCATCAAAACAAACACAAATGACTGCTGATGGCACAAGTAAGTTGGACAAACAAACCATATTATCCCAATAACGATTTCAATCGAATATATTAGTATAGTTCAAAAACGATCCTAAACTACATTTATAATTTGCTATAAGACTTATAGCACTTATAAGACTTATAAGACTAATATAAAAGATTATTAATTAAAATATTTTGAATAATATATATTATTTACACAATTTTAGGAATGTATAATAAAATGGCTTTCTTAGACAAAGAAATAGTACAACGTTCACAATCAACTAAACCTTTCATACCAACTTTACGTTGGACTCTAGAATTGTAAGTGCTTGCAAATATACAAATGTTATTAAAATTTGAATTTGATTTTAACTTAAGTATTAGTACTAAGTACATAAACTATTTTTCAATTTGCAAATTAATATTAACCTAAAGCTAATACTTCATTTAAAATCTTATTAATAATTTCTTGTTACTTGTAACAGTGAACTGAAGAATTATGAGCTTATGTTATTCGAAGACGATATGCCAAATGCTTTTACGTTATTGGAAAATAATAATGCCGCAGAGTATCTTCCAAAACTAACAATTTCAATGGCCATCAAACATGTGAAGGTCAATTCAGCAAAATTTGTAGAAAATTCTAATGATGAAGAGTGGAAGCGTTTAAATAGATTTGAAAGCGATATTTATGAAGGTATGTAATGAGAATGTCTTGAGATTTTACTACATACAAATTAGAGTTTATGATGTATTGTGATTTATGCATAATGTTGCTTTAGGTGTACCGACATTTTTTGTTGGTGGTCCTGTATGGGCATCAGCATGGTTACCTATTCCATCACCAATATACATCAAAAACCCGACACAATATATTGCAATTAGCACACATCCTACTATGAAAGACGAGTATACTATAGGAAATAAATATTCTGGACCAAATATTATACAAATATGGAACATTGGAAGTTTAAATCATAAGTAAGTCTAAAAGCATCATATTGCATACAGTGAATTAATTAAAAAGAGGATTTAATTGGAACTATTACTTAGTAATTTTCATACAGAATTATATATATTTACACGATTTATAACATTATTGAAATCGTATCTTATATATTCTCTTTTTTCAGCATCGATAGTACAAATGAACCACCTGTTTTAGCCTATGCAATTGCACATAATAATGGCACGATTTGGTGCTTGGAATGGTGTCCATCGGGATGCTATCAGGATGTTGATCTCGGCAATTATAAAGCGGAAGAGAATAAGCTTAGACGAATGGGATTACTTGCGGCTGCATGCTCGGATGGATGCGTAAATATTTATTCATTACCATTTGCCGATGAACTTAAATTTGAAAAATCAGAATGCAATTCGTGAGTCGTATTACGATTTTATATCATAATTTTGTATTGCTGTTAACTCGTTATTTATGATATTTTTATTACGATTTATACAAAGGTTGCCGATTTACAAGACCGACCCAGTAATAACACTAGTCGTGAATCAATTGTTATACGATAATAACAAACAAGATTGGCAATGCACTAAGATATCATGGACAAAGGAACATGGACATAAGTAAGATGTCTCTGATTTAAATCAATCTTCTTAAGATTTGCATATTGTAATCTGTAAAAATAACGCAAACATCTTTTAGTATCATTGCAGCAGGTTTCACCAATGGTTATATCGCATTATGGGATCTCACAACCACCTCTCCTATGTTACTCAAAGTTCGAAAGAATACAAAATTTATAAATGCATTCAAACATTTCTTTGCTCATCACAACACAGTTACCAGTAAGTACTAAATTACTTGAGCCATGTAAGTAAGAAAGTTGAAGCGTGTAAAATTTACTGAATTATTATTTTTTACTCTGCATAGTGGTTGCATTAGTTCCATATGGCAACAATAGATTTCTGGCTTCTGGCAGTACAGATAAATCGTATAAATTTTGGGATTTGGAAGAAACAAGTGTACCACGACATTGCACCAGAAAGGGTATAATACTGGACGGTGCATGGATGACGCACTGGCCATGTTCGATTTTGAGCTTTGACGATGCACTTGGGTAAATTTATTTTATATACAAGAATTAATCAGATTTTTATCTTGGAAAAAGTTAATAAGTTTAAATTTAAAAATAACTAATTTAAATTTTAAAAATTAAGTCATTTTAAAATTACTAAGTTAAGTTAAAAATTATTAGTTTTTTTATTTAACTTTTAACTAATTAAGTAACTACTATCCCAGCTTGATATTAATTAATAAAGATAATATATGTATACTAGTAATAATCATAATTTTGCAATAATTACTTCTAAGTATTTTTATAGATATCAATATACACATTCTTGTATAATACCATTGAGAGAATACGGATATAAATACTGCCCGTTTTTACCAACTAATTCACCGACTTACGTAAGAACTATCTTTACTATCTGTCTTTCGAATGTAATGGATTATTTTAAAATCTGAATAACATATTTTAATTTTTAGAGCATCACTGTTTCTGATTATGGTAACAGTGTCGCACATGGTACCTTAGCAGGAGAAGTAATAACCATCTTTCCTCATCAATTATTACATACAGAAAGAACATTGGGTAAGAAGAGACAGGTAGGCAGTTATTTCTCCTTATATTCATAATTCTTTTTATTATAGTTTATAATAATATATAAGTTTTTTATATGATAATTTTGTTTCAGTTAAATTCTTTCATAAAAACAGTAGATTTCTTAGAAGAACGTCAAAACACAAGCAGCAATAAAAATAAAAATGACAAAAAGAAGTCTAAGGATTATCATTACATGCCAGAAACTTATGATGAGTGTAAAGATCGCTTTGGCATCATTTTTCATGATCAACTAACAGTGAGTAATTATTTATAAAATCTAGAAGCACAATCAATTGTTTAAATAATATTAACTGATCTTTGTTGTTTTATTAATTATACACAGAAACTGAAGGAAATAATCACTAGAGATAGACGGCACTCTACTCTATATAATAACATGCTGACATCCATTCCTATTGAACAATATCCATTTACTTCTGCAAATAAGGTAATTAATAATAATTGTTCTATTTTTTTTTTACAAAATTAAAGGTACAAAAAATATTTATCAAATTATTTATCAATTTATACATTTGTACAATTTATACAATTGTAAATTTTTATTACGTTGTTTTATGTCGTTTTCTATAATATTGAAATGAGCATAATTTGGAACAAAGCATTGATAAGAAAACGAAATATATTTTTAGGTGACTTGGAATCCAAATGCATGGAGTTATCTATGGCTGATGGTGGGTTATCAAAATGGTTTAATGAGATTATTAAATTTTACATTTATGTCCACACCTCGCGAATTTGATTCTTTACTATCGTCGCATGTGAAATCCATACTTGATAAAAGAAATACTTCTACTCAATGACTATAAAGTTGCTTTTGATAGAAAGTGGACAAGTATGAACAAAATATAGAATTTTTTTTATTACGCATTTATTTGAATATTATGAAATTGCTTAACATCGATCTATAAGTTTTACATAATTATTATATAGTAATAATAAATGATACATAATCTTAAACGGGAAACACTGTTTAATTTCTCAAAAATGCGAGTTTGATTTTCGGAAATGTCAACACGATATCAAATACACATATACATTCGAGATAACAATATTTATATATAAATACGTACACTAAAGCGATATATCGTAAATATTTTTTAGTTTTGTAATTTTAGGTTTTAAATTATCATTCTCTTGTGTGCGCATATCGCTTTATTTATTTCCACATACACTTGCATGACACAATGAAAGAAAATTTAAACTCGCCATAATTCGTTGATCACCTCAAAAGCATGAAAATTAATAAATTCGATTGGCAAACTATAATTGCGCGAATAACAAAATTGAATTACGCGCCATTTACGTCATGAGATCACATGACATTGCTATGCGTTATGAGATCACGTGACACTGCGCCATGCGTCATGAGATCACGTGACAGATTCCGAGGCGCCATCTTAAAATTCGTCGCATTTGCATTTGTGTAATTCAAACACATCGAATAGCGCGTGCAGGCGCGTACGTATTTATTTCTTAAAATTCCGCAAAGTCCAAGATCTCAAGTCACGCAACAGCATTTGAATGACGAGAAAAATATTTATTCGAAGAAAAAGAGATTGATTTGAAGAGGAAAAAAATTATTGTCAAGTCATCAACGTGGACGATTCGGACATCAAAAAGATATACATATGTGTTGACAATAAGAATCTTTTTGACACAAAAATACCTCCTAAAGTGTCAATAAAACTTCGGTAAATTAATCTTAGTACAAATATTTGAAGTACATTTCTAATATATGATTTACATTTGAAGCGCGCATTTATAAAAAAATTTTCTTCACTTTTCAAGGAAGCATAAAATCGTCGCCCCTGAAGTATCATGACGTAACGAAGAGGCGTAGTAAAAAAAAAAAAAAAAAAAAACGCTGGCTAACTGATGGGAGAGACGCAGAGTCGCTGAGAATCGCTATCGCTGGCAAGCTGCTCCTATCACAGTCTCTCGAATCGGAAACTGATAACACCAGACCGGAAGTACTTGCAAATTTGTACCGAACAGCGCCAATCAGACGATCCTTGTTACGACAGCGGTAAGGTCCGAAATTTTATCTGTTTTTAAAAATTCTTATTCTTGTAATAATATTCAAGTAGAGAATGAATTTTCTAATATAGTTTGCGTTGTATATATTTTATTGTGTATTAGACACACGCTTAATTTTAAAGTGTCGACGAAAACTTTATACTTCAATAAATGATATGCGTCTTTAGAATTATAAATTTTGAAAAAATGTATATACTTTACTTTTATTTATTTTTATTTTACACGAAAAAGTTATAAAACTTTTCCAAAACTTGCCTAGATGAAGTATTTATAATTTAAATATAAATTATATATATAATGTATCATATATATATTATATTATATTATGATTTTAAAGAAAACGTATGATTTTGACAAATCTCTTTAAAATTTCATCAAAATTAAATTAAAGTTGAGAAATCAGTGTACATATTCGTCTGATTTCTAGATGTACATTTGCGCACGATTTTAATTATCGAAACAGGAAATTAATTTTACATATTTGAAATGATTATTTTTCTATTGATATAGAAAATATGGGTTTCAATCCTATGAAATGGAAAACAAGAACCATCGTGCATGGTATTTTAGGTGTTTTGCTTTTTATATACTATTTGTTTATAAGAAGAAACATCAAGTGATGTTCGAGGGCATCGTAAATAATTCAAATCCTAAGCACGTGTGGGAATTCATGGCCGATTTTAGCAACATGAAAAAATTAAATCCAACAATGTGAGTATAGAAATAATAAGATTTAAAAATAGGAATATTATTTATTATGTTTGTTAAAAAGAAATTAATATAATATATATATATATATATATATATATATATATATACACATATATTTTAATATATACTTTTTGTTGAAATATAGTTACATTTTTTAATTTACAAAATTAAAAATATTTTTTTATATATATCTTTTTCTTGCATATATTCTTGATTTTTTTCTCTATTCATCATCTGTTTAAATTAATGTTGCAGAGAGGATTTTAATATAATCGCAGAAAGCGGAAATTACGATCATTGGAAATATTCCGTACAGTACACGGAACATTTAAGTCATTTGCCGATGATCCGGAACGTAGCACACGGACACTACGCCGTCAAACCGGATGACAATGGCTACGTCATCAGTTCTAAACATCAGACTTGCTTCCTCTTCAATTTCAGCTGTTGTAAGTGGATACTACTAATTATTCCATTAGTTTTATCCTACATAAATCGATGAGAGAGCTACACATACATATAAAATAATTTTTTAACGAATAATATATTTAAAAAAGTCTAGAAACGACATTTATTTATTTCTAAATATGTATATGTATAAATATTTTATAGAAACAGAGTTTTAAATAACTAATCTTTGAACATTTCGTCTTTATCTTCAATTAAATCTTAGCTCTGTGATGTTTTTGTGTATCTATAGCGTATATTTTTATCCACAACTAGAAAATCGTATATTCGAATGAGGCTATTTGCTTTTCAGTGGAGTCTATTTCACAATTCAGATTCGATGCAGATGGTGGGAAAGATACAAAATGTATCGAGACCGTACAGTATGAATGTCCAATTGTGTTTTCACCTTTGTGCTATAGGGAGGTCATGTATCAGAGAGAAGAGATCATCAAGAGACTCAAGTCGGAGTTTAATAGGAAAAGCAATTAAAAATGTCTCGTTGCGGAATATTACGCATGTACTTATATATACATATTTTTTACATTAGAATTTCTATTTAAAAATAAAATATATTATACATATTTTCTCCAGAAAGTAACACGATAATATGGTTTTATAAAAAAGTTTTACTATTATGCGGTAAATATTAATTATTGAATTATTTTTTTTTGAATTTTTTATTGAATTTTATTTTTCGAATTATTCAATAATGTAAAGGGAATAATGCATTTATATATAATTCTGACACACATATATTACATTAATTCAAAACATATATTATTGAAATATACTGAGATATAGAAATAAATATTATATGTAAAAAGTCAAGTCACTTTTAAATCGGCAATCGATAAACTCAACACTATTTGTATAATCCGCTCTTAGCAGCTATCGATATCTAGTATGACCAACGTACGAGTGCAAAATCCCGCAATGACAAAGTGACGAAAAAAAAAAGAAAAGATGTTGGGAAAAGATCAACAGTTTATCGAAAACACATCGCAGATGTGAGAGCTCAACGTGAGAGCGAATCAGAGAAGAAAGTGTTCCGAGAGGACAAAAAAACTTTTATATTTTTATTCACGGTTTTTCGTGGACAGACTACTCGCTGCAGTTACAGCATTTAGTGCGATATCGCTTATACGTTTGTATCTCAGCAACCGAAACATGTCCAATAAATACGAGTAAGTGAAAGTGTTCTCCCTTTATTTCATCGTGTTTCTCCACGGGTGCTTCGAGGTTAGATATATGTTTGAATACACTGAAATTATACACGTCAGGATAAATATTTTCATTGTCGCATAACAATCGTTGCCTACAACGTTGTCTATGAATTCGTTTTTTATCTCGGTGAAAATTTGATTTTTTTTTGACGTAGCAGAGAGAGGGACATAGGCAAGTAATTTAGTTGGATAAGTGTGAGATATAACTCTCAATTGTGTTAACAATATTTAATACTTGTGATTTTCAACGTGATGTAACGATATCTTTGGCTTTGGTAAATCAATGCCAATTAACATTTTGTGACAATTTTTTTCGTGTAATGATATAAAAACCGACATTATTATGTTTTAAACATATGGAAGAATTGACATGAAATACTATTTCGAAAAATAGTCTCCTTTGCTTCATATTTATTAATATGTAATGTAATATATAAATATAAAAAATATATATATATATTGCTATAATTTTTACTTATCTTGTGAATTATGACAGCTCTTACAGATTAAAAACTACTGAGGACAGTGGAGTTGAAGATGAGGAGTCTCAATCAACAAAGGATAATCAAAAGATCGAAAAGGGTCCATCACTGAATAATGCAAAGATCTTATTGGTATATAAATGTTAAGCTATATATATGTATTATAACATTGATGAAATATGATTAATATCTGTTATAATATATGATGATTTTTATCTGTTGTAGTCTCCAGTAGAAATAAGTCCAACTGAGCATAAATTACAATATGCTTATGCACTGTGGTACAGTCGACGTAGCCTTGGCAAACAAACTAGCATACAAAGTTATGATCAAAATTTAAAGTTGATCGGTAGGTTTGCAAGTGTAGAACAGTTCTGGGGTCTTTATAGTCATTTAGTACGACCATCAGACCTTACAGTGCATACAGATTTTCATCTTTTCAAAGTTGGTATAAAACCCATGTGGGAGGTAAATGGTACTATACTGTTATATTTATTTCATATTTTATGCGAAACTTATTATTTTTTTCTTTTCAAGGATGAAGCAAATCAAAAAGGTGGCAAATGGATAGTAAGATTACGAAAGGGTTTAGTATCTAGATGTTGGGAAAATCTTATATTGGCAATGTTAGGAGAGCAATTTATGGTAGGAGAGGAAATTTGTGGTGCTGTTGTATCTATAAGATTTCAGGTAAAATTTTCATATTTATCCTTAATTTATAAACATAATTTTTTACTACAGATGGATTTTTTTGTTAATAGGAGGACATAATATGTGTATGGAACAAGACGGCATCAGACGTAGCGACAACAGCACGAATTAGAGATACATTAAGAAGAGTATTACATCTTCCAACTAGTGCCTCTATGGAGTACAAAACTCATAATGACAGTATGAGAGGCTCTAAAATTATTCAATTTTGAAAACGAGACATATTGCAACAGACTTCTGACAGACTTACAGGTATGTAATTTGATATAAAGCAGGATCAAAAAGATTTTAAGGATCTTGTTATCTAATCATTTTCGTGATTTTTAAAAATGTAGCTGTTTCATACCTCTTAAGGAGATCGCACATTTGTTTGACAGGAAATAAAATGTGAAATTTTTGGAAATATCCATTTGACGATACACTTTATTCACAAGTGTCTCTGTGTTGTAACTTATGTAAATAATGAATTCACATTGATAAGAAATAAATAAATGCTCTTATTTCCAACATATAAGACATGTAACATAAACAAATTCAATGTTTTGTTTATTCACAATTTTACATTAACATATTTCTCACACAAAACGATTGTTGCCTCTTTTAAAATTTTGGATCTTTTGAAAAACATTTACAAAATCGTAAAACATTATAAAAACGGATTATGCATAATTTTTGGTTTACATAAACAGCACTTAATAATTGGATTATTTTATTTTAAATAAATTTTGTTATTATGTCATAGAGATGCTTCACACAAAATTATTACAAAAAGAAGAAATGAAAATTGCATTCACAGTCACAAATGGTTTTAATATTTAAAATTTAATCCATCTTTATACAGAGGCCCTTATTATATAGCTGTACATGAGATCGTATCGCGCAAAATATATAAGTGATAGTTATTATTAATGGAAAAATAATATATTACAATGATTATATGTGTATATATATATATATATATATATATATATATATATATATATATATATATATAATATACACACACACACATAAAGATAATATAACATAAAAATTTTTGAATAAGTTAGCAAGATTATATATATTACATTATATGTATAAGGGATATAAAAGTTTTCTTCGGTATATACATATACATAAACGCGTAATTTAAACAAAGCATTGGTTTTTCAAGTAGGCCCAAAAGTCACAAGCTAAAATACGCGTCTATCTCATCATGTAGAGCAACAGTTCTATCTAAATGACTCTTTAAAATAGAACTATTTAATATAATAGAAAATAATTATTACATTATGATAATATTTATATTTATATTTTTATATAAAATTATATATTAATTATTATGACAAAGAAATATCGGTATCTTGGTCGATATAATGTTGAAGTTCATAGACTAGAATTGGGTGTATTCCATAAGAAGGCCCAATATGAAAAAGTCTTGCATTAATTTTTTTATCCTATGATTTTATCCTGTATACAAAGATTTTTATATAAAAAAGCTGAAGATTTTATAGCCCTAAAACAATATTTGCAACCATACCTGCAACAAAATTAATTTATTACAAATTCAATTAACAAGAAATATATTAAAACGTATATATATATAAAATCAAAAGCTTACCTAATACAAATGAGAATATCAGTTTAAAGTTCACAGAAAGATGGAGATAATCAGGCACCCTATGATTCTGCTCTCCTTCAGTAGGTAAAAGTAGTCCAACTATGCATATAATTCCTGTGATGAGTGCTACATAATTTGTACCTCCTAAAATATCATTTTATATCTACAGTGTGCTGTTAATAATTTTTTCTCAAGGTATAATTGATTTTGTATAACTATAATTACAATAAGGAATTTATTTTTAGAGCTATAATCTCTTTTCACGATATAAAAATACAAAATCTCTATCATTTTATTTTTTTATATAAAATACATCGTCAGATGCATATAAAAAAATGTAGGCTTATATTGAAATTATTATAATGCATTTACTCACTCTCCATTGTTTTATTTCGGCTTATAAGTGCATAAGATTGCTGCTGCCTGTTTTCATTTATTGGAAGTTGTTGAAACATATCTGGATCTGGTGTTGATCGTCCAGCTGTATCTGACGTTCCAGGGAGAAGTTTAGCTTCAACATCTCGTTTACCAATTATCTAGCATGATTTGCACATTTTTAAATAGGCCTTTAATGAATATTCTTTTAATCATATGTGTTATAAACATTACCTGCTTAGTAGGATATTCTTGCATGTGTATTCTGAATTTATCAATTACATTACAGTTATTTGCCAGCAGTGCTGTATGTCTGACAACAATATCGACACAGGAGCTGGCTTTTATTATTCCTTCTGGATCAACCACTTGATATTTGTTTGGTGCAGTACATAAAACTGAAACATTAACATTGAACATGCACACAGAGACATAAGATTAAAGATTCATATTGGAAAGAAAAGAGAAATACCTTTGAATTTTACAGGAAAATCATATGGATTGTACAAAGTTAACACTTGCTTGTGAGTAGACTGGTCGTCTAAATAAAATGTAATATTTTGTGGAAACACAAAGATTGGTAATTTCCGAGGTGTAGCTACTAATGGTGGCATTGTGTTTCCTTGATTTTGAGTTGTCCATACACCTGCAAAATACAGTCTATAACAATATTGTATACTTTGTACAAATGTTTTGCTTGCAATTTTGTATATATATATATAAATTTCTACACCTTTTTTATACGCAGAAAATTATATATGTAGTATTAAAATCGCTTTAAACATACTTATTGAATTAATTGAAAAGAATGTTAAAAATTTATAACCTGATATATAGGATTCATCGATTATGCATTGCAAAATGCATGACAAATTATAGATTTATGTATACAAATGTGACATACCTGTGAATTTATGTGCTTACAAACTAACACAATCAGAATTTATATAATAACTAAAAAAAAATTTATTTTCCAGATTCTGACTCAAAAAGGAATCCAAAGATCAATGCTGATTGTTGTCCGAATAAAATCGCCGCAATCTACGGCGAGACCTCACGATTGACGTATAAAAATAAATATTTCGTTGATTAGACTCCACATCGCGTGTCGAGCGTTATTGTGTATGTATGAAGAATATTTACAAAAATATTTACAAAAAGATTCAACCTCTCGATCATCGAGATACATATATTTATTCGCATAATCTGACAACTTCTAAAATCCAATGTACGTCTCGCGTCTAGATATTCGTGATTCATGGCTCGGAATTTCGAGGCGGAGAAATCAGCCAATCGCGAATTGGAGCAGAAAATCTCACGCATGCGCGATCATTCGAGTCTCTAGTAGACGCTGTCACATATTTGCTGCAACCAGAGAGAAAGCTACCCTCCATTTGCAAGAAAGGAACAGGCTGGACAAAATTCAATAAAACACATTAAAAATTTGAACAATTAAGTTGAAGGTAATTTATATAGATATAAGATAATAATTCGTTCTTGAAAAAAAAAAATGCGCACAGCACGCTCGAAAAATAATGCACAATTTATCAATCGACCTTTCAGCTCTTCCGGAAGTGCATAACGGGAAATGATTGGCCACCTCTTTGTCATTGTTTTTCGTGCTGTGTGTAAGAGCCATAATATAATATATGTATATCTCATCTCGGTGCCGGTAGAAAGGGAAATATCATAAAAAGTGGTATTTACAACATTTTATTACGCTTCTCGCGAAAGTCGAGGGTTAACTTATATTCCATCGCGACACACAAGCGTGTTCCTGGTGTGCTTCAACGAAGTTCAAGTAAGAGGCTTTTACATCGTCTTTTTTGCCCTACGAGAATTATAAATAAATTATAGATAAATATGGCTCTTAAATTCGCGGCTGTCCGCGCACTTTGCGCATTCTCCCGGTTTTATTATTTATTTGTTTATTCGTTATGGAAATAGGCGGCATATGGGGAGAGTCAGGTCCTCCCCTCTCACTTCTGGGTTGACTCTTGTAAGACTCATCATCATCATCGTCGTCATCGTTGTCCCGTTATCGCATAATCTGGAAGCTCGCACGACATAAACGCGCGACGATTTTTCTGCAATTTCTTCTTTAACTTTTGCTCAATTTTGTTTTCCTTACGGAATTTCTACGGGTGTGTATGCACGGCAATTTGATGCATATGTTATTGTCGTTTTCTTCAACTTGTAGTGCTTTTTAAAGATATATGTAGATATGTGTATGTAAAAAAGGGTGTTGTTAAGTATAATGAAACGAAATCGCGAATTCTACCGAAAAATTGATGAAATATATTATTGATATTATACATATATAAACTCTACTTTTTTTCATAATTTATTGAAAAAATTATCAATATGTACACATACACACAGATAGAAAAGAGAGACATAGATATATTTAATTATTTTTATATATTTTTTATTATAACAAAATTATAATACTTCGAAGTTTAATAATATATTAATTTTTCGGATTTTTTTATAAATACTTACTTTGTAATTATTATCTAAACTTACAGGTAATTCATAGACCCCTTCATCATGATGAACATTAATACGAGGGTATTCTTTGACATCGAAGTCGGTGGACTACCTATGGGCAGATTAATATTTGAGCTTTTCACGGACATTTGTCCTATAACATGTGAAAACTTTCGTGCTTTATGTACTGGAGAAAAAGGACTTGGGAAAACGACAGGCAAACCTTTGCATTATAAAGGCATTATTTTTCATAGGGTTGTAAAAGATTTTATGATTCAAGGTGGAGATTTTTCAATAGGTAATGGGACAGGTGGTGAATCGATTTATGGTGGTACATTTGCAGGTAAATAGATAGATTTTTAGTGCTATAAATAGTTAATATAAACTTGATTTTAATTACTTTGTTTCTTTACTTAAGAATTATTGTAATTTTTGTAGACGAAAACTTTATTATGAAGCATAATAAGCCTTTTTATTGTCAATGGCAAATCGTGGTAGAGATACAAATGGTTCACAATTTTTCATGTAAGTACCTTGATATTATTTCAAAGTTGTTAATTGCATCATTATTTAAATTTATAATTGTGTTAACATATTATGATATACATATATTTATAATATGTTACAAAAATATTATGAACGATAATTGTATTATGTTTGCTTTATATATGTATAGCAAAACCTTACAGGCACCTTAACAAGATAGTACAATATGTGTTATTATGTGTTACTACATAAAGAAAATTCTCTTTGCAGAGAGAAATTTTCTGAAATTACTTTTCCTCCATTAAGAATAATTAGGTATTTTATATGTATCAGGGGTAAAGTTAATGTGTAATATATTTATAAAGTAAATATTTATTCACATTTGCCAGAGAACTCTCTCATGATAATTACACTCAATAAAATTTTTAATAAAAGTAAGCATAGAATAAAAATCGAGTTATATCAACATATTGTTGGACTTATAACAATTGTAATATTTTCTAAATTCACGATTGATAATGCTTGGTAAAAACGAACAAATTTCAATTTGAATGTACAATTTCATTCCCACAATGATTATGCAGCGAACTCGCAGAGGATATTGAAAAAAACATAGAAATAGGAATAATTCTGGAGGAATGAATAACTTAGCAATGTTTTTGTGTAGTCATGAGGGAAGGGTCTGCACATCACTACTACAACACAATGACCAATGAAAGCTGGCTCTTTCTGTTCATCTCTCATCCCCTTAATCATATTTTGTTGTTGTAGTACAACACAACCAGCGCCTCACCTCGACAAGTAAGTATAGATCATCATATGTTTATGTATTTCAGAATTTTACAACATTATACTACATAAATCTGATTTGTTTAAAAATCAGTCTGTCTATATGCAAGTATTTTATTTCTTCAGTGTCCATGTGGTTTTGGAGAAGTAGTGTCTGGGCAAGAAATCATTACACACATTGAAGGACTTCCAGTAGACCGCATGTCACGTCCATTACAAGATGCTAAGGTTGTCAACTGTGGCGAACTGGTTTTGAAGATCAAGAGTAAAGGTATAATTGTTATTTATCTACTTTCTTAAAACAGATATAAAATTTAAATTTTTTAATAAGTATATGCTATAATAAATATAAATATATCACTATATGTATATTTCAGCAAAAAAGCGAGAAGCAAAACAAAGTAGTTCAACAGATTCCGAATCTGACTCGTATGCCGATAAAACAAAGAAGAAAAAGAAGAGTAAAAAAAGGTAATCAGATAAGAAGTGAACATAGATTTTAATAGATTTTAAATAGAAAAAATGATTAAAATAATATAATAAAATATAAATATATATTTTCAGTAAAAAGAAGGTGAAGTCGGAAGATGGTGAAATTCGGGATTCTAATGAGGAAGACGATGGACAACCTCATCCACTAGTATCTGTCACTAAAATTGATCCTGATGAAATTCCAGAAGTACCAGCAAATAAATTTTTATATAGAGCAGGATCCACCAATAATGCAAATCAGAAAGAATTTAGACAGCATTACGGAAGAGATCGTGTACGATCTCATAGAAAGACTAGTCGTATTTTTAAGGGTAGAGGAATATTCGTAAGTGATTATTAACATAATATTAATTGTATATATGTATGAATGAACGAAGGAAAATTGTATCGAATTTCATTCGTTAGTATTTTTATTCATTGATTTACTAACTTTTAATTAAAATATATGTGCTTGAAAAAAACTTTTAGCGATATCATACTCCTTCTCGAAGCCGTTCCAGAAGTATGACTCCACCTCATTGGAAGCAAGCTCAGAATCGTACTATCAAACTGCACGAATTTCAAGTATGTGTATATATATATATATATATATTAAATATATATATATATATATATTAAAATTAAAATACATATACAATTATTAGTTCCCTTATGTATCTTAATTTTATATTGCAGAAGATAGAAAAGGAACGTATCAAGAAAGAAGAAGAATTTGATAAACAACGCGACACTGACAGATTTAAAAAATTCGGAGATAATTGCGATGAAAATAATCAAGTACCAGATCTTGATAATATATGTGCAGAATTGATGGAGAATAAAGAAAATGATCAGGCAGATGAGACAGCAGATATGAATAAATTAGCTTATCAACAAGATAACAATGCAAAGGATGACAATGACATTACGCAAAACAAAGAAGAGATTAAACATAAGAACGAAAAATCATTGAAACGCGACAACAGTCGATCCTACAACGACAGAAGTTCCCGACGTGATTCGAGAGACAGAAGCAGAAGACGCGGACGTTCTCGGTCAAGAGATCGTCGAAGGTCCAGAGAGAGGGATTATGATCGCAGAGGAAGTCGTGATAGAAGGAATCGGAGAAATTATTCTCCCCGTAGACGAGATTCTTACAGAATGAATAGGCCTGGAAGAGATAACTACAGACACTACGACAGGCGCAACGACAGACGTCCAAATAACTTTAATTCCTATCAAGACAACGATAACATTTCGCGCTTTGACAAAAATAAATATAAAAGAAATGATAATGTAACAGATACGAGTCAACAGAAATTCAGACGTCGTTCACGATCAAGCAGTTCCAGTAGCCAACACTCTAAAGAGTAGTATGTCTGTATGTATGTCACATTTTAGGTTTTTCTTTTACTATCACGTATGAAAAATTACTACAATGTCGATTATATACTATTGAAAAGAAATCATCAACAATAGTTTGTGGCTCAACAGCTATATAATAATACTGAAACTATATAACTCAATTCTCTTTTGATCACTTATTTGTGGTTAATGCACGTTTCATCACTATGAAGTGTACAAAAAGTATGTTATATATTCTTTTACATCTATATTTCGCATCTTCTCTACCTCTTTCTCATACTAAAACTGTTCATATTTGATATAAGTATTATATTGCTTGTGAAAAACGAGATTTTCAAGATATTTCTATATGAAAGCTTTTTCTCAGAAATTTCTGATATTAATCCCTTTCAGAGTTCGAAAATCATTATAATAATTAAGTTAATATGACGAAAATTAAATCTTAAATTAATGTAATAAGTTAAAATATTGAAAAAAATATATATATTATACTTTAAATATTTTTATGTGCAAAGCTTTTAAAATATGTATGTGTATTTACATACATATATCATGTAAAATTGTAATAAATAAATGACTTATCTCCATATTTATACGATTTTTGTGACAATTCTAACAGCCATTCACATAAAAAAGATGTAGGAAAATAATTTATATATATATTTTTTTTTATTTTACAAAATATATTTATAAATCGATAATATGTGCTCTCTACACAAATTGATAAGCAGCACTTAAAGCTTAACAAATACCAACGATCAATCTATATTGGAGGATTCGAGAATTGCACTCTATTTGATGCTAAGAAAGTTTTAAATCTTTATTAATTAATCCGAGCAAAAATATATTTGCCTTTTTCATCCCGTGCGATTAATCAATAAAGTAAATTAAAACTTTTGTAGCATCAAACTGAAGGCATCCTCGGTATGGCGAAACGATTAGTAAACGCAAATTCCCTTAACTTTACACAATATTAGCTCCGAATATTGATTAATATATAGCAGGTTTTTGTATAAAATATTATACATAAATATTGAAATTGTTATGCAATTTACGTAAAATCACAGTGTATACTAAATCTGCTTGTATAATTCACCATGGATTTTGACCATGTGGGGGCTGAGCACCACCGTAACGCGGCAATGTCGCATAGCCTCCGTATGGAACTTGAGGCATACCTTGAAACGGATTGTAAGCTCCTATGAAAAATTAAAACAAATGTCGTTATACATATTTTGAATATATCATATATCACACTTTTTAAGAAAAATGTGTGATTATAAATAGCATTGTGTTAAAGTCACATAAAATTCACTTTGAAATTTGTAAATGGAAATATTTTTGATTACATATTCATGTAGCTTATCTTAAGAGCTTTTCTTTAAGTAAATTTTACATGACCTTACCAATGTTATTTATAGTCACATTTAACATTACTATTTAATGCGCCACTTAAAGCCCTACAACTATTTTCTTCAAAAAGTCTTTGTTTTCGAGATAAATATTTGACTATTGCAGGATTTTGGGACACCTTGTATATTCAAATAATGAAGAACCAAAATGTATATATACCTTGTTGTGGGTATGGCATTGTAGCATATGGATTGTACGTTGTTGGCATCGGTGGAGGAACATACGTTGGATAGGGCGTTGCTGGTGTAGCGCCGTAAGGTATAGGCATACCACCTTGGTGTGCGTAGGATATGGTAGCTGCGGCGGTGCTGTACCCATTTCCGCTGGTTGATTGACACCAGACGGTCCTTTTAGATAGACGATATTATTTATTTGAATTTTAGAGAATGTTAAAGCCGATAAAAATGTATCAGATCCGTACCACTATGATGAGATGGAATGTTTGGCGTTGTAGCGGGACCGGTATGACTCAAGTTCGTTGTTAAATCTTTCAACAGTTCCTCTTTTCAGTTTTTCGTGCGAAACAGAAGTCTGATATCTTATTTTGGAAAACTACCAGTAGCTACGCAGATAAAAGAGTACATTGTTTTTAGACAATGAAACAAAAAATGAATAAAGAATAAATAATTCACGAATTATCACGAAATATAAGGTTGTACCTGCGTTAAATCGTTATAAAATTTAACTCCTTCTGTTAGGTTGCTCTTTAGCTCTTTAAATGCGTCGTAAGCGGAAGCCAATTTACAGAGCATCGCTTCTCGCGCACTACCAGTACCAGCTTGTTCATTCGTAAATTCTGTATGACATGTCTAAAAACATGATAAATTTATATACATGCATATATCTTTTTCATTTTTTTTGACAAGCAATTCCAAGAGTTTCCTGTATACATGTATATACGACGATTTTAAACATACCTGAATTTCAGCGACTAATTTTTCTTGAAGCGCTATACTTTCTCGTACTTGTTTTTGTAAGGGCCCATAAGATTTTCCCAAACTCTCGACAGATAAATTTGGCTCATCGATCGCGCCGTCTTTGGCTAGAGCCGAAAGAAATGTAGTCTTCATATCATTGGTAGCGGATTTGAATTCGCTTTCAATAGCATCTCGTTTAGCTTTCAATGTTTCTACCTAAAAAATATTTAATATAACGATTAAAATTCAATTAATTAATACGCACAAAATTCATTGTATGGTTATCCATTTACTTGATCCATTAATTTCCTGAGTTGCATAACAACATTACTCTCCTGAACAGCTGAACCTTGTGGAACAACCCTTGTAAGTTCATCCTCATCCAGACTTAAAATTTCCATTCCTTCTTTATGATTTTCGAAGTTTTCACGAACCACCTGTGTGCAAATTACCATATAATAAAATGTTCATAAAAGTATATAAAATCATATTTTAACTTTTATAAATATCTTTTACCTTATCAGCAGTAACTGCATTATTTATAATTTCACGATATTTTTGTAAATTGTTAGTAAATTGTTCCGTTAATCGGACACTGGGTGTTCGCTTCCAACGTTCTTTGAATTGTTCTCTTAGTTGATTGTCGGAATCACGTTCTTCTTGCAACATTCTGTCACACTATAATGTATGTAAAAAATATATAGCAATTTAAAAAAATTTTTAAAGAAAATGTATATATTTATATATATATTTACCTCGTCTAAAAGTTCTTTATTACGTTGCAATAAATCAGGCAACTCTTTCATAGCTAGTTCCAAAGCTTGTATACCTCCTTCATTTCGCACATAAAGTGCTTTCTCCAATAGCGATTGAGGTATTTCTGTTCCACTTGTATCTTCTATAGCTGCTGGCAGATTCAAACTTGCTAAAACACTATATAATAAAATTTAATTACAGATCTATAACATTCACAACTATGCATACTGTTCTATTTTATACATTTAAACATTTATACCTGTTTAAAAGTTGAGTCATTTCTCGCAGATTTGAAACTTCGTAATTAACAAGCTCATTACGACGATTCTCGTAAGCTGACAATGCATTGTGTATAGTAACAGGTAATAGTTCCGCAAACAAATCTATAAATGTGGAGATATTATATATATATAATACTTGTGGAAAAGTTTACTCTCTTTCTAAAATTAATATCGTCTTTAACCTTTAAAATCAGAACTAAATATTTCGGGAAGCGGGAGTAATTTAGCAACGCTGGCTTTCCCTATAGCTTCTACATTCTTGATGTCTGGAATCCTTTCGTGATAAATAAAATCATTATCCTTTTTTACTTCCGTTAGATTTCTCTGTGCTTTGTTGGCATAATCTTGGAATAAGTTCGGTTTATTTGATCTCTGCTGGGCAGCTTTGAACAATTCCACAGCATGCTGAAAATGTTAACGTGTTATTATAGTCAAAATAGATACAAAATAGATAATAAAATAAATGAGAATAGCAATTATATTGTAATTACCTCTAATCTAGCAATTTCTTCTCCAATTGATTTATTATTTTTACATACGAGTGATTGATAAAATTCAGCCATAGCGCGATAACCAGCTTGTTTACCTGCTATCTGTAAATACAATATTTATTTATAAAAATAATACATAAAAATATAAGAAACAAATTAACTATTTTTTTATTAATATACTAACCAAAGGCACCCATTCTTTATCCCAAAATGCACGGAAAATCTCTTTTTGAAATAATTTCAAAGCATCTGCATATAATTCTTCTGCTTGTGCTGCTAATCTAGCAACAATACCATCTTTCATAGAATCGTGAATCGCTTTATGCACAAATATTTCTTGTGCTTGCGCAAGCATTAACGCACTCAATGCTCCGAGTGTTTCTGGGCTAATATCAGGTGTCGGTTCTTGTTGAATTGCCATCATGACATTTCCTTTCAAATAATTAAATATTCCAGCTGATTGCTAAAAAAATTTTAATTAAGATTTTAGTTAAGATATATAAAATATGTAAAAGTATTAATATTAGAACATAAGAATGTGGAAGTGCAAACCTGAAATAATTTGGCTGACAGCTTCAATCCTTCATCGCTGTCTAACGATTGTGTAGCAGCTACCGAACTTTGTAAAGAAGCAATATTGAAAAGTACGCATACTTTTTCATATGCCAATGTGCTAATGGCTGTACATGACAATATTACAAAATCACATTTTTATATCACATTTAATAATTCATATTTTTTAAGTAAAATCTATATTGCTTTATCTTATCTTTCTATCTTATTCTATCTTATCATTTGATCTAAATTCTAAATTTAGAAATTATTATATGTAAAATGTTCATGCAACATCTTTTTCTCATTTTGTAATAATTCATAAATAATTTATATTTAATAATAAAATTCGGATTAAAAGAATATAAAGTAACAATATTATACATCCTTTTCTCTTAATACTTACTTAAACTAAGTTTCCACCAAAAATTGTACGATCAAAGGCATCTTTCCACTTGAATGGTATTTGTAATTCGTGAGCAGGAATTTTTCCTTCCAGAGCACATAACTGATCATAATAACTGCAAGTTATATGTTTAATTAATTTAGATGACAATGTTTTCAATATACATAATACATGTATATGTGTGTAATGACACTAATAAAATTTTAATAAATTTTTATTTTATAACTACTTAATATATAACCTTATATTCTAAATTTCTTCGTAATGCGAATTTTCTTTGTGATACGAATACTAAATTACGAATTGTAAATCATGTTAAAATTTATTTGCAATGTAATCGTTATCAATCTACATCATAAAAGTTAAATATATGAAAGTTTTTAAATTGTTTATGTTGCTTATAAAATTTACATTAACATAATGCTTTTTTTTCAACTAAAAAAGACGCAAAAAAGAGACAAGATTTAAGGCGTTCTACGCAGATAAATTACGATCGAATCATGAAAAATGTCATTGCCAATCGATCAAATGTCAGTGGATTTAAAAGTGCAAATGCACAAGATCTACAGCCAATAGACGAAATACAAATATATATTTTATCGGAACAATTGCAAACGTCGTGACATGGATAATTGTCACTTATCGCAGGAAATTAACCGAAATAATTAAAGATGACTCATACCTGTAGATAACCTGCAAGGAACTTTCATACTTCTCAAAGGCCCGCCAAAGAGCGTTGTTTCTCAGTTTGCTAAATTCCGCGATAGCCTCCGTATAATCCTTCTGATTGCCCGGGCTGTTGTAGGTCGATTTAATGACATTTGTAAGCGGTTTTATTATATCTACGTCGGAAGGCTTTTTCAATGGTATCGCGATCAGTTCAGCCATTTTGACGTATGTGACTTCCAAAGTGCGTTCGTGAAATTCTCACTCCTGGGACATACAAGAGCCATTAATTGACGAATCAGGGTAAAGAAAGCTTCTTTCATTCTGATTGGTTAATCACAAGCGCCAATTTCTTCCGCGAATCGAATTTTTGAACGCACACCAAGAATTTTACCTAATCTAAACTGAATCTTATCATATTTACTTTTGACGTCTGCGTTGTTTTACTGATAATCCGGACATTAAAAATATTTGTTATCAGGTTAATCACGATTGATTTATATCATCGTATACACAATTTATACGATGTTTAATTAATATACACAGTGATGCAGCTTTATTTCTTTCGTAAAAAGAAGCAATAAATATGCTCAGTAAACACCAAGTAATTATTATATATAATTTTCCACTCAACAATGCAAATGCAATATAACACGTGTGTTTTTATATTATTAAGTGGAAAATTATAACTAACAGTTATGTAATTGTTACTTGGTGTTTGCTGGGTGATGACTATATAATTATATTGACTCTAGATTTTCTTATGAGTTTATGAGACATTTTTAATCATTCACATCAGTTATAAATAGACCAGAAATCATATACGTATTTCGCTTGAAATTAAAAATGTTATTAAAAATATATACTTAACAAATTTACATTACTAAATGCATGCCACATATAGAGAAATCATTTATATTAGTTATAAATAGGCCAGAAATCATATACATATTTCACTTAAAATTAAAAATATTATTATAAAAATAGTTATTCACATTACTAAATGTTTATTAAATATATCATATCATATATGTCACTTTATATCATATGTATTATTTTCTATTTTTGAAATTAAAATGTATTTTCGTTTTAAAATTAATATATGTAGTATTTTTTATTTTTGAAATTAAAATGTTGAAAAACATTTAATCAGATCATTTTACTAAATGTTTTATTAAATATGCATTAAATGTTTTTTTAACATTTGTTTTAATTTCAAGTAGAACATGCGCATATGATCTCTAATACTTCTGTCAGTGATATAAATGATTAATTGTCGTAAACAAAACTAAATGAATCAATAATTAGTCAGCAGATTTACTGTTCCTGTTGCATCACTTAATATACATATACATATATAATACATATATATATATATATTTACACACTTCATATATGCCATATAAATTAACCACGATGACAACGATGACAACGTATAATGTCTACATTATCAATAAAATAATACAGATATCAGAAGTAAATATGTGATAGCCTCAAATACACTCGGATGAGGCATGTACGATATTGAATATAAAAATATATTTGAATCTAAATATGATATTGTAATATTACATATACATGTATACATGTGTAATATTGAATTAGACAATTTGTAATAAATATATAAAAAGCGCAGATTTCTTAATAATATAATATATATAATGCTTCAAAAACTCATTGCAAGTTATTTCAAATAAGACTAAAAATTATTTTTTTATTGATTATTTAATCTTCATAAAATATCAAAACGCGTATAGAGTGTTATATATTTTTTTCTGTATCTTTTTTTAAAGATAACGATTGTCTATATTTTAGATACTAAAATATACATATATGACAATACAATCAATATATTTTAATGTATATGCACATGCATAAATTATAGAAATATAAATTAAACATGAGTGATATATCATATATCAAATAATATGTCATGCACATGAATTAAAAAGCAATTTGGTAGATTCATTAAAAGAATAGTGTGATTTATGTAACGAAATAGTAATTTATACGTAGTAATTTTTTTACGCTTCTTCTTATTTAGAAAATATAAATATTTTTTTTCTAACACATGATGATTCATAAATAAAATATATAATTGTGAAACTAAAAAATAGACATTAACAAATTTATATTTTATTAATAAGTCTCCATCTATTACAAAACTGAAATTATAAATGGGGAATATATAAAATTATAAAAAATAATTTCTAGATATTAATTTGCTGGAAATTCTTTAATAATGAAATTCTATGCAATTAATTAAATTGCGAGAACAAAATATGTAATTGTATTTAAAGATAACAGAACTTTCAAATAAATTCGAATAATTTTATAGTAATATATTTAATAATAATATAATTTAAATTTAATTATAATAATAAAAAAATTCCCAGTATTTTACATTAGGATTTTATTTAGAATATTATATACGTTGAATTTCTCAATACCTGTTGCTGAACTTTGTAAAATCTTCGTTAATAAAACAGAATTATCTTACAATATAAATGAAATAGATAAGTTAAACGTAAAGTTATTAATTTTATAAGAGTTTATATACATATATCAAATTAATTTTATTAATTTTTACTTAAAGTTATTAATTTTATAAGAGTTTGTATACATATAGTATACATATATCAAAATGTAAATATGTATAAGTTATCTAATCATTTGGATTTCTTCGATGTATTTTTAGTAAAGTGTTTATTGAAAGATAAATCTTGAAAATATTTAAGTAATCGGTTATTATCATGACGAAAATGCACTTATTTCTATCTCTTATTACACTGTAATGCTGTTGATTTATAATTTTACCACTTGAATCGCAGTATCCAGTATGATCTCTGCCAGTTATATTGTCACAAGTAGACTGATTGTGAGATAACGTGGAGTTATTATAAACTGTTATCATATACTGTGAAATTCATGTTGCAATTACATTCAAGTATGTTATAATATTTGTGGTTTATTCAAATGTTTCTCTTAAAACAAATTTTGCGATATGCAAAATTTTAAAATTCGTTTATAATAAATTTATCATATAAATAATAATGACATTCCGAAAAATAATATAATTTCTATCGTTTCTATTGTTAAAAAAATATATGAGCATGTATGTCAATACTCGAACTTCTGATGAAACTCGATTACAAACTTAATTTTTATAATCATTTATTTTATTCAAAAAACAAATTTAACTTATTCAATTATTCATTTTTTATTTCTTTTTACAAAATATTATTTTCTCTTTCAGTAAACATTGCTTGAAATAATCGCGCTACAATGGAATTTTTCGAAATACTGTGCGGCATTCTCGTCATACTTCTCGCTATTTATTATTATTTGACATCGACTTTCGATTTTTGGAAGTTACGTGGTATTCGTGGTCCACAACCGATACCAATATTCGGAAACTTTAAAGACGTTATGCTTGCAAAAAAGTACTTAGGTGATTATGTGACAAAAATATACAACGATTACAAAGATGAACCTATGATTGGGATATTCACTACCAGGATACCTGTCCTTATTATAAAAGATCCAAATTTAATCAAAGATATTCTTATCAAAGATTTTACAAAATTTGTCGATAGAGGAAGCATCGTTCATGAAAAGGTATGAGTAAATATATTTTAAACTATATTATAATAATACTTGAATTTATATATAAATTGAACGAATTTTAAGAAATTTGAAATACGCAATTATATTTTTCCAATAATCCAAACTATTGAAAATCACGAAATTTGTTTTTCACAATCTTAAAGAAGTGTAATCTAATATTATATAAATGTATTTATAAGATGAAAGATTTATTTCACAATAATTTTGTATTTATTACAGTTAGATCCACTATCGCAAAATCTTTTCTCTTTAGAGCCTAAACGATGGCGACCTTTAAGAACAAGATTGTCGCCTACCTTTACATCCGGTAAATTAAAGGAGATGTTCTCCTTAATATCGCAGTGTGCAGATCGACTTGAACTATATATCGAAAAATTATCGTGCAAAAATGAGCCCATCGAATGTCGCGAATTGGCAGCCAAATATACAACAGATGTAATAGGTACTTGCGCTTTCGGCCTAGAGATGAATGCTCTGAAGGACGAAGACAGCGAATTTCGCAGGATGGGAAAATTAATTTTCGCGCCAAGCTGGAAAATTATTCTACGATCAAGATTAAAAAATTTCCTGCCGTGGTTGAACGATATACTCAGTTACATATTACCACAGTCAGAAGCCGTGCCATTTTTTACAAGCATAGTCAAAGAGACTATGGACTATAGAGATACGAATAATATTGTTAGGCATGACTTTATTGATATATTACGTGAATTAAAAAAGCATCCAGAAAAAGTGGATAATATTGGTAAGTGACAAATGTTCATCCTCATGAATATTTTTTATCATGAAACTGTTTTTTTTTAAAGATGAGTTTAAGTATGCGAAATATATCACATATTACTATATAAATTATAATTTTCAATGATAGAACATGAATAAGATTATTTGTAACAGAAATATATTACATTTTAGAATTGACCGATACTTTCCTAGCTGCTCAAGCATTTGTATTTTTCGGTGCTGGCTTTGAAACTTCATCGACGGCCATAAGTAATGCCCTGTACGAGTTGGCATTAAATCAGAAAATACAAGACAAGTTACGTGAGGAAATTGATGAAGAGTCTATAAAACATAATGGCAATTTTACATATGAGAATATTAAAAAAATGAATTATTTGGATAAAATTTTCAAAGGTACGTTAGTTATAAAAAAAAATTTTTAAGAAAAGATATTGATATTCATTGTGATAATTAATATTCTTAATATGCACAGAAACTTTACGAAAATATCCGTCGGTGCCACAACTTTCAAGAAAAACGATGTCCAGTTATACTTTTAATGATACCAAAGTTAATATACCAAAAGATCAACTCGTATGGATTCCTATTTACGCGATTCAACGAGATCCAGATATTTATCCGAATCCCGATGTGTTTGATCCAGAGAGATTTACTGACGAAATTGTGCAAACTAGGCACCCGATGCATTATCTACCTTTCGGCGATGGACCAAGAAATTGCATTGGTAAAGAGGAAAACATTCAAATATGTTTTGTAAAATATATTATTATACATAAAAATATATATAAATTTTGTTTATTTAGTTTTAAATTGAGAATTTTTTTATTTGAAAAACTTAAGTCCTTCTATGTAATAATTATTATTAATTGTTTTTAGGTGCTCGCTTCGCTGTTCATCAGACAAAACTTGGGCTTATAAAGATACTGCAAAACTATAAAATCGAAACTTGTGAAAAAACGCAAATACCCTACATAAATCATCCTAAAACTTTTCTATTAACACCATCACGTGGAATATATTTGAAAATAAATAAAATTAATCGATGTTAATTTAAACTTAATGTTTTTCGCAAAAACAATTCATGAAAAAATTGAAAGAAATATTTATAAATTAAAAGAATATAATAAATAATATAACTATCTCCATTCCGATTGAAAAATATAAGGACGTGTTTTGTATCCATAAAACTGAATATTTTGACACATTCCACTGAGTGGGATACATTTTTTTCGCAACTCTTATCATAAGCAATAATTGTAAAATATGAATTTTTTCTTGCAAATTAGAAAAAATAAGGTTTGCACGATTTTTTAGCATTAACATTAGCATTACCCACAATAAGGTTGCATTACGGAGGAGGTTGTTGATCAAATTTGATGCATTTTGTGCGTACATGTATGTGTAAACAATATCTTTAATCTAGAAAAAAATTGAATAATTATTATTATTCCAATATATCTCTGATCCAATATCTAATTAAAAATACATCTTCGTATTTTACGCAATTAGCTACACAGAAAAAAAGAAATCCTTGATCAAGTAATTTTTACTTGAACGCTATTTGATTGATTTAAGCATAGATGATCTTTGTAATCATAAATTTCATTTGCTTTAATAATAAATAAGTTTGTGTAAAGAAATTTTATCCTAGATATATTCTTGTTTAAAATGCATATGGTAAAACAAACTTAGTCAACATTGAACTAAGAATTATTATACATATATATTGAAAGTACACTTATATCCGATGCACATTGTACTTGTCCTTGCAATATTTATTAATTATTTTCAACCAAGAATATTTTTGCACGTTAAGGATAAATTATCTTTATCCAAAATTATTTATTTTGTGCTATTATAAGGATAAAATATACTTGATCAAGCATATTTGCATTCTCTCAAGGATAGTTTTCGTGTAAGAAATTATAATATTAGAAAAACGTATGCTCGTTATTTTATAAGCTCATATTCCGCTACAATGTTCATTAGCATGTAAACATAATACATATTCATTAAGACACGTTATCTAATCTGTAAATTTTTTAGAATTTCTTTATTTTCATATGTATTATCAGCAGTGTGTTATTATAGTAGTATTATCATAGTAACAGTGTATTATCAGTAAAAATGTTTAGTGCAAAAGCTGAATTTTGAAGTTTTTGCCACTCATACGTGTGATATAAAGGATACTTTGTTCTTCCTATAATAATGGCATGTATCTTTATAATGTACATATAACTGAATTTGGGTTACGGTTCAATATTATTTTCGGTTACAAGTTAATCGGTTGGGATACTGTTGTAAGTGCAAAAATTACATTGCTTTGCATTCAAGTAAACGCGCACATTTTATTTTTATATCATTTATTTCAATGTTATTCATGTAAAATCAGTCATGTTAAATTTATAGATAATGTTATATAGTCTTAAAAGAGTTTTATGATATAAAAATTTTGAAAATCTCACAAATCATATTTAACGTACAAAAATAATATTTCAAAAAAAATTATTTTACTATCTTCGTCATTTTCAAAAAAAGCTCGAATATTATTAGTATTATTCTCTTCAGTTTCAGTAAACATCAATTGAAATAATCAACGGCTGAAAGACAATGGAATCTTTTGAAATACTGTGCTGCATTGTTACCGTACTTTTCGCTGTTTATTATTATTTTACATCAACTTTCGGTTTTTGGAAATCCCGTGGCGTTCGTGGCCCACAACCGATACCGATTTTCGGTAATTACAAAGACATTATATTTTTGAAAAACCATTTCCTGATTATTTGATAAAAATATACAACGACTATAAACATGAATCTATGGTTGGAATATTCGCTGGCAGAACACCCATTCTTGTTGTGAGAGATCCAAATATAATTCAGAATATTCTTATCAAAGATTTTACTAAATTTGCAGATAGAGGATTCCCGATGCATGAAAAGGTACGACTATATATATATATATGTGTATGTTATATAATAACATTCAAACTATATAAACAATATATGATTTTCATTTAATATATTTTTGTTCTAATGTGATAAAAAATGTCTCAAAATTACGAGATTGTTTTACATAGTAATAAGCAATTGTAGTTACATAATTTAACGAATTTAATTTTTGAATTGAAAAGATTTGTAAATTTATATTACATATAAGATTATATATTTTATGTTCATTGCAGTTCGACCCGCTATCGCAAAATCTCTTCACTTTAGAGCCTAAGAGATGGCGACCTTTAAGAACAAGGTTGTCGCCCGCTTTTACATCTCATAAATTAAAGACGATGTTCTCTTTGATATCGCAGTGCGCGAATCGACTTGAACAACGCACAGAAAATTTATCGAGCAAAAACGAGCCCATAGAATGTCGCAAATTGATGGAAAAATATACGATCGAAGTAATCGGTACTTGCATTTTCGGCATCGAGATAAATGCTTTATTTGACGATGACTGCGAATTCATAAAGAAAGGGAAAGCGCTGCAAAAGCCAACTTGGCAAAATAATCTACGAAATAACTTAATGCTATTCTTCCCGTGGTTTTGCAACATACTTAGTTATATACTACCAAAAACAGAGTGCGCCAAATTTTTTACACGCATTGTTAAAGAGATCATGGATTATAGAGATACGAATAATATTGTTAGAGAGGATTTCATTGATATATTGCGCGATTTAAAAAAATATTTAAAAGAATTGGATAATATCGGTAAATGACAACTCTTAATTTTATAAATACTTTTTGTGTTACAGTTTTTTAAATACAAAATAAGAACATATAAGTGTATAAAATATCAATGCATGCGCAAGAGTGCTATTAAAGTACTATTAAAAGAGAAAATAAATTATAATTTTTTGTAATAGAAATACATATATTACATTTTAGAATTGACTGATAGCTTTATAGCTGCTCAAGCATATATATTCTTCATTGCCGGCTTTGAAACATCATCTATAACCATGAGTAACGCTCTTTACGAATTGGCATTAAATCAGAAAATACAAGATAAGTTACGTGAGGAAATTGATAAAGAATATAGAAATCATAATGGCAATTTTACATATGAGAACATTGAAAAATGAATTATTTGGATAAAGTTTTTAAAGGTACGTTAATTCAAGAAAAAATGTAAAAGAAAGATATTGATGATTTAGAACATTATAATACGTAAATCTGTTGCTAACTTTAATACAAATAAAAATGCATTTTTATCTTCATTGTGATAATTAATATTCTTAATATGCACAGAAACTTTACGAAAATATCCACCGGCGCCACAGCTTCCAAGAAGAACGATGTCCAGTTATACTTTTAATGATACGAAAGTTAATATACCAAAAGATCAACTCGTATGGATTCCTATTTACGCGATTCAACGAGATCCAGATATTTATCCGAATCCCGATGTGTTTGATCCAGAAAGATTTACTGACGAAATTGTACAAACTAGGCACCCGATGTTTTATATACCTTTCGGCGATGGACCAAGAAATTGCATTGGTAAAGTGAAAGAGAATAATAGATTTCAACATAAATGTTTTGTTTATTTTGTTTTAGGCTGAGAATCTTTTTACTTGAGAAGTTTGAGTTTCCAAAATATTTTAAACTTTTTTAGGTGTTCGTTTCGGTACTTATCAGACAAAGATTGGACTTCTTAAGTTACTGCAAAATTATAAAGTCGACATTTGCGAAAAAACGCAACTATCTTACATAAACGATCCTAAGGGGTTTTTATTAGAACCAAAGCATGGAATATATTTGAAAATAATTAAAATCGATCGATCTTAAATCAAGTTTATTTTTTTTCTCAAAAATCATGCAATAAATAAATGAAGAAAATAATGATAATTGAGAATAATAATAACTATGACTATTCCAATTACATCAATATGTATTGTACTGATACTAATGTTGCATAGTGATACTTCCAAGCCAATATTATTTAATGTAATAAAATAAAATAATTTACTTTCAAATAAATGTAATAATATAAAATAACTTATTTTAAAATAACTCAATAATTATTGCAAATATCGCAAAATGATACATGAATTTTCTATTCAGTTTAACACGCTCTTCTGCTCATGAAAGGTGATTCGCGAATTATGGGACACCCTGTATATATATATATATATATATATATATATATATATATATGTATAATTGTTATAATAATAAAGTATTAATTATAATAATATTTATAATTATATAGTTAAATTATAATAATATTTTGCTAAATACCCACATGTCCTAGTTTTTTGGAAAGAAAAATGTTTAATGTTTATTGGAAAAAAATTATTTATATAAGATTACTAAATATAGAATATCTTTGTTAAATAAAACATAAAGTAATATGTTATTTTACATAAATATTTATTTACCAAATTGTCAAGAAAAATGTTTTCACATATTTCTATATGAATTATAAATAATCCTTAATCTAACTAAACGAAATGTACAAAGCTAATTGCTTTTCAATATTGATATTTTATTTGGTTTAATATTCTATTCCACATTATATTGTTCTATGCAATCAATTAGTTAACAAATTATAATAATTGACAAAAGATTAATAATTATTTTATGAGTTTATATTACGTCATAAATGTACATTATTAGCATATAATACATATGTATGTACATGTTTAAGGAATATTGTTTAAACATTAGATCATGAGTTTTATATCTACAGTGAATTATCAGCAAGTATAACAGTATTATCGTAGTACAAATGTTTTGTAAAAACAAATTTTTTGCAATTCATGATATGAATATATTCATTCTTTTTGTGACAATGCGTGTAAATTTACAATTTAACTAAACTTGCATCGCGGTAATCGCTATTATTTCGAAATAATATTGATTACGCCGCGATGCAAATTTAGTTAAATTGTGAAGGTGAACTGGAATTCCAAGTTAATCCAGTTTCAAGGTAGTCGGCTAAACTAATGGGACATTGCTGCAACTAATTGTAAGAACGTTACAATGCTATTGCATTCAAGTAAACGCGCGCGTTTTATTTATTATAATTATCATTTATTTAAATGTTTTTTATTTGCATTAAAACGAGATTTATGATATACAAATTTTTTAAAATCTAATAAAGCATTTATCATATAAATAACAATAACATTCCTAAAAATTATTGTATTTTATCTTCTTCATTTTCAAAGAAGCTATTTCGAAAAGCAGATAAAATTTAATTAAACACAAATTTTTATAAACAAATTCGTTAAAAATAAATTTAAATTATCGAACTCGTTAATGTTTTATATTTCTTGATAAAATATTATTCTTTTTTGTCTCATTAAACATTGATTGAAATAATCAACAGCTGAAAGACAATGAAATCCTATAAAATACTATGCGGTATTATTATCGTACTTTTCGCTACATATTTTATGCATTGTTGAACTAAAAAAAAAATTTGATTGTCTTTCGACGAAACAGAGAATTATTGGTTAAACCGACCAGAATTCCTTATAATGTAACAAGAATCTGGGTGCACAATAAATCAGTTGCTTGTGCTAACCAAGATTCGTGTTGCATTATAAGGCATTCTGGTCGATTTAACCAGTAATTCTGTTTCATCGAATAATAATCAAACTTCTTTTTCAATGTGAAATATTCGCTAACAGGAGACCTATTTTTGTTGTAAAAGATCTAGAATTAATTAAATCTATTCTTATTAAAGACTTTATCAAATTTACTGATAGAAGATATCTTATGCGCGTAAAGGTTCGTGCACAAACATGTATATTCTAAATCATTTAATAATAATCAAATAATGTAAACACAATCTGTTTTACAATTTTTTATTTTTTTATATGCACATTTTTATGTTTTTTACATGCTAAGAATGATTGAAATCTAATAAATTATATTCTTGAAATGAAAGATTTATTTGCCTATAGCTAGAGTTTAAACATCCGGCAAATTAAAAAAGATGTTCTCTTTAGGTCTGATTTTTCCAACTTCTTGGTTTTACCCGACAGCTAGCATATTTTCGTCCTTTTTCAGATAAATTCTATAAAAGGAGACGAAGATGTGCTACCTGTCGAGTATGAAACTTACGAAGAAGTTGAAACAACCGGCTCTTAATAGCGCAGAGCACCGATCAACTTAAACGGTACACAGCAAAATTAGCGAGCAAAAACGAGCCTGTAAAATGTTGCAAAATATACTTGGTGGCAAAATATACGACCGATCTAATCGGCACTTGCTCTTTCAATCTCGAAATAAACGCTTTATCAGATAAAGACAGTGCATTTCACAAGGTAAGATTGAGCCAGTTAATATCTAAAAATTTATTTTCCGCTTTGGAAAAATAATCTACTGTTGAAATATTAATTCAATTCTTGCCGGCGGATTATGCAATACACTCAATTACATCCTATTCAAAACATAGATCAATAAAATTCCTACACGTATTGATCTAGAGACTATATGGATGAATTATTAAAACGCGAATAATATTATTAGAAATGATTGATTGCACTGCGTGAATTGCAAAAAAACATCCAGAACAAATAGATAGACGATATTCATAAATGACAATTGTTTGTTTTCTCGAATAATTTTTATCAGAAAATTGTTTCTATGCAAATTGAATAATTATAGAAAATATAATCTCGATTATCAATTTTTTAGAATTATGTAATCTATTATACATTAAACTTTATCATAAAAATTGAATGGTTGAAAGTCCAACTTTCAAATTTTAAAATGAGACTAAACTCAGGTTTTTATCTTTATTATACAATAAGTTAAACATTTAAAAAGTGTGAAAAAATAAAATTTTATTGTACAGCGATGCATAAAATTACCCATAATTAAGAGAAAAAATCTTTCCAAAGTTAAAAAAAATTATCAATATAAAAAATTGTGCAGCGATCAATCAATGTTTTTATTATCTCAAATGGAATGACTTGTATTACGTAGTGTACAATAGTATGTTTATACATATAGTACATATGTGTTATCTAATCATCAGATTTTCTTCGGTGTTTTACATGCAGTTTCAGTACGTATCATCAGTAATAGCAAGAAGACGAACGAGAGTTCTGATTTTTAAAAGATATGATTCCCGCAATTCATCGCGACGTAATTATACACGTTCTCTTTGTGTAGTGACGTGTATGTACCTTTATAATTTAAGTGAACTCCGCATCATGGCAACCAGTATTATCTCCAGTTACGAGTTGCTTGGCTGATATAACGGAGCTGCTGCAACTACCAGAGTTACAGTGCATTCAACCGCACTACTGGATTCAACTACGTCGTATTTATAATCCTTACCGTTTATTTAAATATTGTTGAACTTATAAGTTTTATGACCTACATAATTGTGTCAACACTCACAAAGTATATGTGCCATACAAATAATAATATTTCCAGAAATAATTTTATTTTGTTTTCCTCATTCTCAAGGAAACTATTATTGTATTTCAAAGTGTACATCAAAAATCTGTCACGAGAGATGAGATTTAATTAAACCAAGTTTTTATTTTAACATTTAATTGGTTGAAAATAAAAATTTAATCTTAGTCGTTAAAAATGTAATCTTAGTCGTTAAAAATATATTTGACTTGTTGAAATCTTTAATAATTTTTTTTTTATGGAATGTTGTTCTTTTTAGTGATCATTGTATAGTCAATGACTGAAGAAAATGGGAACTTTTGAAATACTATGCGGCATTGCCGCAGTATTTCTCGCTGTATATTATTATTTGACGGCAACCTTCAATTTTTGGAAGTCACGTGGTGTTCGCGGTCCAAAACCGACAATAGGATTTGGAACTTTTAAAGATGTTCTGCTTATGAAACAATCTCTCAATGATTATTTGGCGGAAATATACAAGGATTACAAGGATGAATCTATGGTTGGAATATTCACTAACAGGACACCCGTTCTTGTCGTACAAGATCCAGAAATAATTAAGGATATTCTTATCAAAGATTTCACCAAGTTTGCTGATAGAGGATTTCCATTTCACGAAAAGGTACGATATCTGTATAAATATGTATATTTTAAATCATATTATAAATAGTTAATAATAATATAAAATCAATTAAAATTTATTAACTCGTGTTATACAATAAAAAGATTTATTGGAAGACTTTGACGAGCAAGTAAAATAAACCAATTGAGTTACACAGATGTTTCATTAAATGTTAAGAATTGATATCACAAATAAAACTATTATATGCGTATTGAGGCGATCGCAAATAACAATTATATTATTTACAATAGAATAGTATGCGCGTTTCGATACTAACTTGTGTCTCTTCAGTCGCTTCTTTCTTCGAATTTAAATATAATGTTCTTTATCGCTTTAAAGTTGCTATTAATTCTTAACATTTAATTCAACTTTCTTACTTTGATTTAATGTAACATCTCTGTAACTCAATTGATTTATTTCACTTGCTCGGTCAAGGCCTTTCAATAAATTTTTTTATTAAAAAATCTGTAAAAGAAATCTATTTTTAATAACTTTGGTACATTTTTGTGATAAAAATTACTGAGCATTACGAGATTTGTATCAAACGTAATAAGCATTCTAATTTTTATGTAATATAATTATAGTTTTAAACTGAAAGATTTACATATATAAATATATATTTTTTTATTACAGTTAGATCCACTATCGCCACATCTTTTCGCTTTAGAGCCTAAAAGATGGCGACCTATAAGGACAAGGTTGTCGCCCGTTTTTACATCCGGTAAATTAAAGGAGATGTTCTCTTTGATCTCACAATGCGCGGATCGACTTGAACTATATGTAGAAAAATTATCGTGCAAAAACGAGCCCGTAGAATGTCGCGAATTGACGGCCAAATATACAACCGATGTAATCGGTACTTGTGTTTTCGGCCTAGAGATGAATGCTCTCTCGGACGAAAAGAGCGAATTTCGCGAGATGGGAAGAGCGATTTTTGCGCCAACTTGGGACAATGTTATACGGGGAAGATGCAAACAATTCCTACCGTGGTTTTGCGATGTACTCAGTTACATACTACCTCCGACAAAGATCACCAAGTTTTTTACACGCATTGTTATCGAGACGATGGAGTACAGAGATACGAATAATATTGTTAGACATGATTTTATTGATACGTTGCGCGAATTAAAAAAACATCCAGAAAAAATGAGTGATATCGGTAAGTAACAATTGTTCATCTTTGTAAATATTTTTTTATTACGTAATTGATTTAGAGAAAAATATGGGGAATAAAAAAAAATTAATTTGAGTTTGTGCGAAATGTCACAGTACATCACATATCGATTAAAAGTAAATGGATATATAAATTATAATTTTCAATGATAGAACGTGAATATATATGTAAGACTATTTGTAATATTTCACATTTTAGAATTGACCGATACTTTGATAGCTGCTCAAGCATTTGTATTTTTTGCTGCTGGTTTTGAAACTTCATCGACGACCATAAGTAATGCCCTTTACGAATTGGCAATAAATCAGGAACTACAAGATAAGCTACGTGCGGAAATTAATGAAGAGTATACGAAACATAATGGCAATTTTACATATGAAAATACAAAAAAAATGAGTTATTTGGATAAAGTTTTCAAAGGTATGTAATTTAATAAAAGAAAGATATATTATTTAGAGCAATTATATAATATAATTTGTTGCTAATGTAAATATAAATAACAATGTATTTTATAACTTCTGTTTTTATATTTCTTTTTCATTATTTTTAATATAAACAGAAACTTTGCGAAAATATCCGCCAGTACCGACACTTACAAGAAAATCAATGTCGAGTTATACTTTTGCTGGTAGCAAAGTTACTATACCAAAAGATCTAGAGATATTTATTCCTATTTACGCGATTCAACGAGATCCGAACGTTTATCCAAAGCCAGAGGTGTTTGATCCAGAAAGATTTTCAGACGAAATTATGCAAACCAGGAATCCAATGTACTATCTACCTTTCGGGGATGGACCAAGGAATTGTATTGGTAAAGTGAAATAAATTTAAATACATGTTTTTCGCATTTTATTTGTTTTGCTCTTAGATCGAAATTTTTTTACTTCAGAGAATTAGTTATTTTCTTATAGTAATTATTATTTATTTTCAGGTGCTCGTTTTGCTGTTCATCAGACGAAGATTGGACTTATAAAAATACTGCGAAATTATAAACCGAAATTTGCGAAAAAACGCAAATACCCTATATAAACCATCCTAAGACTTTTCTATTAACACCAGCTGGCGGAATATATTTGAAAATGATTAAAATCAATCGATCTTAGTTTAGGCTCGGTCTTTTAAAAAACACGTGTCAAAATAATGAATATGTGTAAATTAGAATAATAATAAAATGTAATCATATGCATGTATAATTTGTAGTTTGAATAGTTCATAGTTTATCCAAATATAGCGACATTTTTAGATTTTAATCATCTTGCCAGAGCGTAATGAAATATTGTCTATGGAGATGTATGTATAAACAATATATTACAAGATTCAATTTTTTTTCTTTATGTTAGATACTGTATATATTGTATATTTTATATCTCTATTATATTTTTATATATTATTACTTAATTTTTACACATTTATTTTTAAAATAATTTTGGTATTTCTGTTTCTTTGTCAACAATTTTGGACAAATATTTCAAACTATATACTCAAATCGCTATTTAATTACTAAATTTACTCAATATACACCGTTATCTAATTGCATATTTTAAATTAACTATTTGTATATATTAACATAGAATATAAATGACGAAATAATTAGCATTATTAATACATGTAAAAATTTGTATTGTTTGTTACTTTCCTTTGATGTACATATTTATTTTCTCGACAAAGAGAAAACAATCAAGAAAATAAAATTTTATTTTTTTAGATTTTTAGATTATTTGAAATTTAAATTTATATCTAATACATGTTTGAAACATATTTATTTTCAATCATAATTTTATATTCAATCATAATCAATGTACTAACAATAAGTATAAGTATATAATAGTATCATTTATTATAAAGTGTTTGCGCATCTTCAAAAAAAATGAATTTATTGCTAAAATCACATATTATTTTAAAAAACATTTATATAAATTGCTAAAATATTTATTATCAATGGAATTTTTAATTAACAGAAAAGCTAATAATCAAATCATTTTTAATCATTTACTAAAGTAATCGTACGAATTTTAAAAATATTTCGATATGCGACTAGCACGATATCACTAAAACTGAAAAAAACACACTGCAAAAAAGCACTGAAAAAAATCCATGTATTTTGCATGGAAATTACTTTGCTCAGAAAAATTGGAAAAATTACTTGCTTATCACTGTAATTTATTTTTCCGTTTGTTTTAAAATAAAAATACATATTAATGTAAAAATACATGTAAAATATAGGTAAAATTACTATTTTTATGCAAAAATCATATGTAATTTTAAATTTACTATTTTTACTTTATTAAAATTTTATATATGCACATCTATTCGTTATTTCATATTGCATTCGGTATTTTGTTATCGACTCTCAAACAGGGTTGATCGAACTCGCTGTTTAAATGCGCGTCTGAATCGTCAAGCAGGTAACAATCATTTTTTTAAATATACATATGCATTCGTCCATCGCGGAAGCAGACAAGAATTCGACAATAGAGTCAGTCGTTAGAAAGTCGTCGAGCGAGAACGATTGAGTAGCGAAATCGTCGCGCAAAGACTTTGAAGTAGACACGATTTCAATTCCGAATCGAGACTCTCGTAATTATAGTAAATTTATCATAATAAATTTGATTTCATATGTAGCAAAAATCACTTTACACCGATTACTTATAGCAAATTCGATTGGATGCACCAGTGCGCACTGAGTGCATATAAAATTTGTCACATACAAGTTCACAATGACACAAATAATTAAAAAGGAAAATAATTAATTACAAACAGAAAAATATTCTATTGTGTGTGCTATGAAAAAGAATCATTAAGTTGACTCTTCTTTATTTAAGTAATAGTTTGCTTTAAAAAAATATATGTTTTTGATAATAATCAAAAACTTATCAAAAATATTATGAATATTCATTATCATACATTAAAAACAAATTAATATTTTCTTTCGAGTAATATAACTCCTATATCATATCAGTCAGATTTAGTTTTTCCTGACTCTTTAAAATAATGTCATAATTTGAGCACTATACAAAGCTATATCATTTTTTATTCGTATAACATTTGAATATTTGTTTAATATTCCTTCAAAAAGGTTTTTATACTTCAATCTATATTTCGAATTTAACACTAAATGTATATGAAATATGTTTACATATGAGATCTCTCCAACTTTCTCTATTTGATATCAATATAATCAACTATAATTTAGTTGTCATAAATATATATTTCGTTAAATGTGTATTTCTTTATTCACAAATTTTTTAATTCCCAAAACTAGCTCCTTCTGACAAAAAATTGTTTTTCTATTTTAGCAAACGTCACTTGAGATAATTAATTGAGAACTGCAAGATAATGGTACCCGTTGAAGTATTGTGCGGCATTGCTGCCCTATGTTACGCTGTTTATTATTACTTGACATCGAATTATGATTTTTGGAAATCACGTGGCGTTCGTGGTCCAAAACCGTTACCGGGTTTCGGTAATATTAAAGATATTCTACTTAGAAAAAAATTCTTGGGTGACTATACGAGGGATATATATAATATGTACATAGAAGAAGACATGATTGGAATATTCTCTAGAAAAACACCAATCCTTCTTGTAAAAAATCCAGAATTAATTAAAAATATACTCGTCAAAGATTTTTCCAACTTCGCAAACAGAGGATTTCCTGTTAGTGAAAAAGTATGTGTGAAAATATGTTAAATTTATATTATACGTGATAATTTTTGCCTCAATAATTAGAATTATTGAAAATCTTGATATTCCTCCTTACAAATTGAGTTTTTTCGGTCAATTTTATGTAATATAGTAAGAATGTTTTTAAATATCAAAAACTCGATTGTAATTATGTCAATAATAATTACTCAATTATGTCTTTTTATTATATCGCAGTCAGATCCATTGTCGCAACATCTTATCAACTTGGAGCCTGACAGATGGCGACCTTTAAGAATAAGATTGACGCCTGCTTTTACATCTGGTAAATTAAAGGAGATGTTCTCTTTAATGTTGAAATGCGCCGATCATTTTGAACAATATATAGATAAAATAGTGAAAAAAAACGAGTCGATAGAATGTCGCGAATTGACCGCCAAATACACGACCGATGTAATCGGTACATGTGCCTTCGGCCTAGAGATGAATGCTTTATCGGATGAAAACAGCGAATTTCGCAGGATGGGAAGATTAACTCTTGAGCCGAACTGGAAAAATAATTTACGGTTAAATATAAGACTATTAATGCCACGGTTCTACAAAGTTTTCCATTATCTCCTACCACGCTCTGAGGTGGTCACATTTTTTATACGCGTTGTTAGAGATACAATAAAATATAGAGAAATGCATAATGTCATTAAGCACGATTTCATCGATATTCTGCGCGACTTAAAAAAACATCCAGATAAATTGGGCAATATCGGTAAGTGACGATTTTCCTTATGAATATATTTTCTATCAGACATAATATTTTTAGAAGAAAAAGTTTATAAATTTGTACGTATAAAATATATATTAGTTTACTATATGTATATTAATCTTGAAGTAGATAGACTATTGACATAATTTTTAATATTTTACAAAAAATAGATATTATTCGTATGAAGAAAATATCACATTTCAGAGTTAACCGAAAGCTTGATAACTTCTCAAGCATTTGTATTTTTCATTGCTGGCTTTGAAACTTCATCGACTACCATGAGCAATGCACTCTATGAATTGGCACTAAATCAAAATGTACAAAACAAATTACGTGAGGAAATTGACGAAGAGTACATTAAGCACGGTAGCAATTTAATATATGAGACTGTAAAGAAGATGAATTACTTGGACAAAGTTTTCAAAGGTACGTCATTCGCAAAAAAAAAAAAAAATATATATATATATATATATATATATATATATATATGAATAAAAGAAAGTTCTGCTGTTGTTCATCAGCGTCATTAGAATTTCAATAGTGTAATTGCTGATAAATTAAATCTAATAATATATACACATGTATTTCTAAATAATTTTTTAATAAGTTTTCAAAGGTATGTCATTTAAAGAAAAAATTAATAAAAGAAAGCGCTGCGCTTTTGTTGTTCAGCGCCATAAGAATATCAATAGTGTAATTGCTGATAAATTATTTCTTATATACACAAGTATTTCTAAGTAATTTATATTTTCAACATAGACTCATATATAATCCAGCACGCGATTAATTCTTTTTTTAACTGTTCTTGATATATATATAGAGACTTTACGAAAATATCCACCACTGACAGTTCTTATGAGACAATCAATGTCAAGTTATACTTTCGAGGGTACCAATGTTAGTATACCAAAAAATCAGAAGATATGGATTCCGATTTTCGCGATTCATCGGGATCCGAATATTTATCCGAAACCAGATATTTTTGATCCAGAAAGATTTGCTGACGAAGCAGTGCAAACCAGACATGCGATGCATTATCTACCTTTCGGCGATGGACCAAGAAATTGCATTGGTAAATTTAAATGTGCAGATTAAATATCTTCAAATTTTGTTCGTTCTTGTAAAGAAAAAATTATTCTAATAGAGAAATTCTTTTGTAATAATAATTTATTTATTTTTCAGGTGCTCGCTTCAGCATTCATCAAACAAAGATTGGTCTTATAAAGATACTACGAAACTATAAAGTCGAAACTTGTGATAAAACGCAAATACCCTACGTAACTGATCCTAAAGCGTATGTATTAACTCCAAAAAATGGAATACACTTGAAAATAACTAAAATCAATCGCACTTAGTTAAAATTTTATCACTTCTCTGAAGAAGCATGCGTACAAAAATGTAATTTAGTTATTTTTAATTATATTTATACATGCTCAACATACATACAATATATAAACAGTTTATTAATATTTAGTTTTATAAATATATTTTTAATATAATCTTCGAATTTTCTTTTTATTGTTAACAGCAATTTTATACAAATACATATTTTACACTTTATCTTTAAACTGCTGTATATTATTAAACGTTGCAACGCAATATCGAACGTTATCTATATGTGCAAATTTTAAATTTAAGTTATCTATTTATATATTAGCACGGAATACAAAATACAGTATAACTACCCTTATTAATAAAGTAAAAAATGCTAACAACGTTTCTCGTTCTTCTGTTCTGATATATATTATTTATTTCTTCAGCGGAAAATACACGACTAAGGAATTTAAATTTAATTAAAAAATTTTAACTTATTTAAGATTTAATTTCACGTACGAATACATACATTTAGAACATATTTATTAATTGTTTATATTCAATCAGAAACAGTATCTGAAATGAATGGTAGCGTATTTCATCTAGTTTACATTTTCAAATAAATTATAAAATTCCTTAATTTCATTAATGTATAAAATCCTATACCATATAAGTCAGATTTAGTTTTCCTTGACTCATTAAAATAATGTCATAATTTGAGCGCTATATAAAGCAATATCATTTCATGTGTGAATAACTTTTGAATATTTCAACAATAAACGTAAAAAATAAATAAAATAATAAACTGGCTCTCAATAAAACAAATTATAAAAATTTAAATAAATAACTTCGGGCAACTGAGAAACCACTGCAGGATGGAAGATAAGAAAATAAATATAATTTTAGTGAAAATTTATCATCTTATTATAGACATTTCGATCCTAGGAATTAAACCACCTTGAGTACACTATGAAAATTAACAATGATTAATGTCGATACAATTTATGTAATAAAAAAATGAGGTGGATACATTCCAATTGAATTCATGACCAGTATATCGGTGGTCAGTAATGACAGAGTGTTCGTTTGTGTTACGATTTATATGCAATGTTCCTTTATTCTAGTTTTTGAAATAACATTAAAATCTTAAATAAGAAATCCATTTTAAGAAAAAGATTGATATCAGTAATAATATTTATTGAACGACTAAGCAACAGTTTAAATTTGAAAACCGACACTGATCAACTCGATAATATTTATTTACTTACGATTGAAAACATGAAAAAAATATAAGTAGACTATTATTATGGTTCCTGAGGATGTTCAAAATTTTATTTATGTTTATATTTCATCCAGTTCTTACCTCGATTTGTCTTTGTTAATATTCATTCGTTAACAAGCGTTTAAATAAGAAACGTCTCAGCTCGATCACAGTAATAATCATCTATATAACTGCGTTTGTGAGTATCCACTTCGACATTTCTTTATTATATAAATCTTATCAACATTAATCGTTTTTAATACTCATAATGTACTCCAGATGGTCTAATTCCTAGGACCGACACGTCTATAATAAAGTGATAAATTTTCACTAAAATTATGTTTATTCTAGCACCTTCCACCCTGCAGTGGTTACTCAGTGGCCCGGTGTCATTTATTTAAATTTTATAAATTTTGAATATTTGTTTTGTATTCTTTTAGAAAAAAAGTTTTCATATTTTAATTTATATTTCGAATTTTGCACTATATGTACACTTTATGTATATGAAATATGCTTATGTATGATATCTCTCAAACATTCTCTCTTTGATATCGATATAATTAACTTAAATTTAATTTTCATAAATATATATTTCGTTAAATGTGTATTTGATGTATCACAAATTTTTTAATTCGCAAAAAAAGTTTCTTCTGACAAAATATTGTACTTCTATTTTAGCATACGTCACTTGAGATAATTATAATTAATTGAGAACTGCAAGATAATGGAATCTATTGAAATACTGTGTGGCATTGCTGCCGTATGTCTCGCTATTTATTATTACTTGACATCCAACTATGACTTTTGGAAATCACGAGGCATTCGCGGTCCAAAACCGTTACTGGGTTTCGGTAATTTCAAAGATGTTATACTCAATAAAAAATGCACTGGGGACTGTTTGAGGGATATATATAACAAATACAAAGATGAAGACATGATTGGAATATTTAATAGAAAAACGCCAATCCTTCTTGTAAAAAATCCAGAGTTAATAAAAACTATACTCATCAAAGATTTTTCCAACTTCGCAAACAGAGGACTATTTGTTAGTGAAAAAGTATGTATAAAAATATGTTAAACTTATATTACACATGATAATTCTTTCCTCAATAATCAGAATAATTGAAAATCTTGATATTATTGTCACAAATTGAGTTTCTCCTGTCAATTTTATGTAATCTATAGTAAGAATGTCCTTCAATTTCAAAAACTCAATTATAATTATGTCGATAATGGTTACACACTTATATCGTTTTTATTATATTGCAGGCTGATCCATTGTCGCAAAATCTTGTCAACTTGGAATATGAAAAATGGCGACCTTTAAGAACAAGATTGTCGCCCGCTTTTACATCTGGTAAATTAAAAGAAATGTTCTCTTTAATGTCGGAATGCGCCGATCATTTTGAACAATATATAGATAAAATAGTAAAAAAAAACAAACCGGTAGAATGTCGCGAATTGATGAGCAAATTTACGACCGATGTAATAGGTATATGCGCTTTCGGCCTAGAGATGAATGCTTTATCGGATAAAAACAGCGAATTTCTCAGGATGGGAAGATTAGTTTTCGCGACAAACTGGAAAAATAATTTACGAAAAAAATAAAACAATTAATGCCACGGCTCGAAGAAATGATCTATTATCTTCTACCACGCTCTGAGATAACCACATTTTTTACACGCGTTGTTAGAGAAACCATAAAATATAGAGAAATGAATAATGTCATTAGGCACGATTTCATTGATATTCTGCGCGAATTAATAAAACATCCAGATAAAGTGGGAGATATCAGTAAGTGATGATTTTTTTATAAATATATTTTCTATCAGACATAATGTTTTTAAAAGAAAAAGTTTATAAATTTGTACGTATAGTATATATATTAGTTTACTATATTTATATTAATCCTAAAATAAATTATTCACATAATTTTTAATATTCTACAAAAAACAGATATTATTCGTATAAAAAAATATCACATTTCAGAGTTAACCGAAAGCTTGATAACTTCTCAAGCATTTGTATTTTTCGTTGCTGGCTTGGAAGGTTCATCGATAACCATGAGCCATGCACTCTATGAATTGGCATTAAATCAAGATGTACAAGACAAATTACGTGCAGAAATTGACGAAGAGTACATTAAGAACGGTAGCAATTTAATATATGAGAACGTACAGGAGATGAACTACTTGCACAAAGTTTTCAAAGGTATGTCATTCAAAGAAAAAAATTAATAAAAAAAAGCTCTTCTGTTGTTCTTCAGCGCCGTCAAAATTTCAGTAGTGTAATTGCTGATAAATTAATTGTAATAACATTACTTATGTATTTCTAAATAATTTATACACTTTACGTATATATATAACTCATAAATAACTCTGCACGGATAATTCTTCCCTTCACTGTTCTTAATATATATAGAGACTTTACGAAAATATCCGAATGGGACAGTTCTTAAGAGACAATCAATGTCAAGTTATACTTTCGAGGGTACCAATGTTAGTATACCAAAAGATCAGAAGGTATGGATTCCGATTTTCGCGATACATCGGGATCCGAATATTTATCCGAAGCCAGATATTTTTGATCCAGAAAGATTTGCTGACGAAGTAGTGCAAACCAGGCATGCGATGCATTTTCTACCTTTCGGTGATGGACCAAGAAATTGCATTGGTAAATTGAAATGTGTAAATTAAATTTCTTTAAATTTTGTTTATTCTGCTTTTAGAGAAAAAATTATTTTTATAGAGAAATTTGCCGTAATAATAATATATTTATTTTGCAGGTGCTCGCTTCGCCATTTATCAGACAAAGGTTGGTCTTATAAAGGTATTACGAAACTATAAAGTTGAAACTTGTGATAAAACGCAAATACCTTACGTAAATGATCCTAAATCGATTCTATTAACTCCAAAAAATGGAATACATTTGAAAATAACTAAAATCAATCAGACTTAATAGAAATTATATCATTTCTCTTAAGAAGCATGAGTAAAAAGACGTAATTTAGTGATTTTTAATTTTAATTACATGTGCTAACATGTATACAGTATATATAAACTCTTTAAGTTTGAATTTTTTTGCTATTATAACAATGGCCAAAGATAAAATGTAATTATATTTAACTAAGCAAAATGGACTACGTTAATTGATAAATAAATTTAATTGTTAATTAATTGAGATATTACTTTAATTTTATTATTATGTAGTTAAACATTTATTTTTACCATAATCTACGAATTTATTTTTTATTGTCAACAGCGATTTTAGCCAAATATATATTTTACACTTTATCTTTAAACTGCTGTATATTATTAAACGTTGCAACGCAATATCGTTATCTATAATTACCTATTTTAAATAATCTATGTATAAATAAGCAGAGAATATAAAAGACAGTATAACCAGCTTTGTTAATAAAAATATTTACAACGTTTCTCATTCTTCTCCTCTGATGTAAATAATTTATTTCTTTAGCAGAGATTACACAACAAAGATATTAAAATTTCATTTTGAAATTTTTTGCTTATTTGAGATTTAAATTCATGTACGAATACATACATTTAGAACATATTTATTAATTGTTTATATACAATCATAATCACAGTATCTTGTGAATGGTAGATTAATTCATAATGTTTGCATTTTCAAATAAACAAATTTATTCCAATCTCATATTATATTAAGAAATTCAAAAATTGCTCAATTGTTAATTGTCAACAGAATTTTAAAATATAAAAAAAATAATCAAGTGCATTTTTAATCAAGTACATATCAATA